CCTATATTTCGCGCGCAACTCGAGTGACAGCTGTGAAAGGGTCGACTGAGATTCTTATTAGACGAAAATAAACATATTTGCCCTAAATTTGTGTTTAAAAAACCCAAAAACCACAGATTCTCTATTTAGTGTAATATTCTAGTGGAAATACCCGTATATTCATATTAATTTTCTTCTTTTAGATTAAGTTTCTTGTTGATAATAGCAAAAATAATGTAACATAACCTCCTAATTTTCCAACGCCATTATTTTTCCTGTGTAAGCTTTTATTGTCAAATTGGGTCTTAGGAAAATGTGGTAAATAAACAAAAGAAAAAGTGTGTCACCGACGTCGGATGCACCGGATGCACTATCTAGACCGGACATCATAAATTATTTGACGTATTAACTTGACATAACAATAACAATGTTGACGTAAATTACCCATGCGCGGACCGCTATAAACCGGTCGATAATCAATAGCCTGAAGAGCACAGGATATCTAGATTCAGGTCTTGTCTCTTTCAAACTACCCCTTCCTACTACCCCTACCTACGGCCCCTGCATCGCCGGGCTGGCCACCTTTATTGATTTGAGTGCAGTTCGGTGAGCGGGTCATTCTACCCGGTGCTCCAATGCAGGGCAGTTTCAAGATCCAGCTCATCAACATGGGAACTCGGGCGGCGGCATGTGAGTATGCTTAGTGTTATTAGCGCTTAAATTAAATTCAGTGAACGCCTTGCATGGAAATTAACGCGTTTGTTTTTCAGAATTGTATGAGGGGCGTCGTTGAGTAGTGCTTTATATGTGTCCAAATGCAGGGACCACAGGATACCATGCAGTATTCGGTTTCGGATTCAGAGCTGAGCTTGAAAGGTGAGCTCGTACAAGCGAGCTAATTTTTGTGGCACTTTTTGTTCCGGCACGTTAGCTTGCCTTGTCCCTTCAACTGTTAGGGTTACCATCTGTGTCTTAAACATAGCTATTAATAACTACTTCTTGTGTGCACAGTCCCCACTAAATGCAGTCATTTACTTAGATTTTCTATGTTCTTCAAATAATTATGTAGGATCAGAGCGCTAGTTAACTTTAAATATTTTTTTAATCTTACAGTTTTGATGTAAATATTAGGTATTTGTGTATATTATTATAAATGGGCAGTATCAGTATAAGGCCTATTAAACTTTGTTAGATTTTTTATACTTAGAATAAAAAATAGTATAATTTATTTTGAAAATAATAACAGTAGGTAATGCTTGTAAACAAGTGTAGTGTAGGTACTTTTAGCCTTTATGTAGTACTTATACTATATTGAACAGAATACATAAATAAGCCCTCACCATTTGACAAATGGGGTTTGGCATAAGTCACAGATTTTCACATACAATAAAAAATATTTTTCAGCAATTATTTTTCAGTCAACAGCTCACATATCACTTGCGACAAAACCAAATAATTCTTCCTATTTAGAACTGCAATAACAGTTTTTCAATATTTATTTATTTATTGAATTATCATCAGTAATATATTTAAAAAAATCTCTATCCCTAACTACAAATATTCTTTACAGCCATCATAGAATACAACAGCTACTGATATCAGTGCACAAAAATAATTATAATAATAAAGTTTTGTTTAAATACAGGATTTCCTAGTGCAGGCACCTAATTTGCTGAACTAATTGTATCTTTAATAAAAATTCTAGACTATTTATTATTATAATCTTTATACCTATAAACATATAAAAATGAGAAAGTTTTAAAAGAACAACTAAATTAAAAAATAAATAAATATTTGTTACATTTGAAGAGGTAGGAAATTTGCCTGGTCAGCTGGTTAAAAAAACTTAATGAGTAAAATTACTAATTGTGCATGTTCTTAGAAGAGAGAAGTTACAAAGACATGATACTTCAGGATGGTAACCCTGTTTCCCTTCTAGGTTTCTTGTGTGCATTACCTAGGTTGATTGGTGTTGGTGTCCAGACCCTGGTCCGTTGTTTGCCCGTCCCTAGAATGTTCTCCATACAATGTGTTTAGTTATACAAAAACAAGTACCCTGTTGTTGTTTCAATGTTACATGTCTCCCTGATTCTGTTAATTTTATGGCCAAACTGTATTGCTAAGCATGTGTAAGTACTTTTTTTGAAATGCGATTTGAATCTCAGCCAATATTATGTAATACTATATTTTTTTCTTATCAAACTATTAAGCGAATAAGTGAAGAAGGTACTTCATACTTGAAGCTACGTTATACGCATTCGTTTCTCTCGGCGTTTACTTGTTGTTTTGTTTCACTGCAAGTTTTGTGGAATAATAAACTAATTAATTAAATGAAAAATTATCGAATTTGTCGTATTGAATTTAGCTTCTAAAGGTCAGTACTTAGGTACGATTTTATCAACTAGACAAATCGTTTTTATGAATGAGAGCTAAGTACTTATTTATTTACTGAAGGTGTGCCAATGTATTAGTGTTATGATATTATTATGATAGGGATTACTTATAGACATACTTTTTGACGGGATTTAGACCAGAACCTTGTGAATATTAAGGTGCTCAAAAACTAGAGCAATCTCATGACCTCATAAGTACTCTTCCTTATTTTTTGCGAAAGTTACATTATTGCAAAATAACGAAAGCGTTTTAGCAAGACATCTGTAACACAGATTTTTTCCAAAAGCCAATATCAGGCACCAGTCTCTTATAAAGGTTGAAATACATATTTCTTCTGAACACTAACTCTAAGACAACTTTGTAACGAGAGAATGAAGAGAAAATGATTATTATTATTATATCAATTTTATGGCGAGTTTATTTTTACTTTACTTTTATTACTTTATATATTTTTTATTTACTTTATTGACATTCACTATAGAAGTGAATGTCAATAAAGTTCGGTCAAGTTTTGACAGTGTCTCACTCAAGAAAATTTTCTTAAAAATGTTTGGCTTCGCGCTTTTTTCTTTTCTGTTTGTTCCGACACTTAATATAAATAGGGCGAATGATTCCATTTCATAACTCTTTTAAAATAGTAACTGTTTAACAAAGCGTCATAAAAAAACACGAATTCATTTTTTTTTGCAGTCGCTCATGCAGGTATTCGTCCAAGCCAGAATAGTGTAATGCAATTGGTAAACTAAGTATAATATCTATTATTAGCGACGGGAAAATTACAAATAATTGAATTTGGAAAACTTGTCCCTGCTCTAGCTCTATATTATGATGCGTTAACGCGTTCTGCGCACGCGTATAGGAGTACTGTCGGCTATGCAACCATTCTTGGGCTACAACTTATAACATCGCGATTTATATTTTATTGAAAAAATATTTTATTCTTGTCTGGACTTAAAAATTACTGACTTCTGAGTTTTGAACATAATTTATTTATTTCATTTCATAATTTCGTGGTGGCCTAGATATTAAGACGCCCGCTTTGCATTCGATTGTTTAGATGCCATAGATAAACGGCGAAGCAAATCATCATGAAAAAACCTGAACTTGTAATTTCAAATGATATCTTTGAGTCACCAATCCGCCTTGAGCAAACTTGGTAATTAATGCTCAATGTGTACGAGAAGAAGCCTTTGCGTCGCTTAAAGTCTTTTTAAAAAGAGTCTGTTCGAGTTTGTGCTAGTTTAACTGGTAGATAAATTTTATGCAAGTAGGTACCTATGTATCTTCGACATCAAATACAAAAATATGTGTGTCTTTTGAGGTAATAAAAACTTGATTCGACTTAGATGAAATTGGCTTTGTTTATTTATTTATAATTTATATAATTATTTAAATACCAACAGCCCGTGTTAGTTCACTAGTGTTTCCTTGATACAAGATAGATTTGCTAAGCAGGCAGAGTGCATTCGATCTCTTTAAAAGTGTAGTCGGCTCTTTAAAAGTGTAGTCGGCTCTTTAAATTTTCTCTGGAAGAGCAAGGATGGTGAAACATTTACCCTCCTCTATCGTCTACGTTATATAGATGTCTCTTCCAAAATATGGGAGAGTTGAACAGAAAATTATCGTGGCATTGAAGCTGCCACGTGTAAATAACTAAACCTCGCTTTTTGTTGTGCAGTTAAAATATTGGTGTTGTTGTAAGGGACTCAGTGCATACTGCAGGCATGTCGCCAATGCGCTTACAGTCCATAGTACTAATTCTTTTATGTCTATCGGTATTGAGCTTCACGCTACACCTCGATCTATGTCAATCAGATGCTATCCACTTCTATAAGCAGGCCATTTATTTACTGAATACACCGCGGCCCAGATCGGAGCAGGAGATGGAGCGAGGTGGTTTTCCCTCTCCCAGCTAAACATCATTGAATGATTTTCAACTCCAAAAAACCCAATTGTAACCGAACCGGACTTTTGTAAAAGGTCAGGTCTTTGTGCCCGTCTTTTTACGTATAAAAGCCATAATAATTCGACGTTTTATTGGAAATTCCTTGTCACGTTCGTGCCGTATTGATGATAGGATATGCGCATGCGCAGTTGATGTGCACATAGTGTGTGGTTGTCTTTTTTGTCCGAAATTAAACTACTTTAAATAATAATCTAAATATATAAAACTCAAAGATGACTTACTGACTGATAGAGTGATCTATCAACTTACAGCACAAACAGACAGATCGGACTGAAATTTGATAATTTGTAAGAACAATAAAATTAAATGTAGGTATCTGACGTACAGTGGTATTGGCAAGGAAAATTTTAATCGTGCACGAGTGACGCCGCCGTGTATGCATATGCATGCAGATAATTAGCCGGCTTATAAGTCGTTTTAACTTTTCACCGTGTAATATTGATAGTAATGGGAGGCTCCACTAAAATCAATAATAGCTTGCTGCTGTCGATTTTCTAAATACTATTAATAGTAGAAGGTGAGTATACTGTTAGTATTAATGTTTCCCATTATTGACAAATCTGCTATAAACCTAAGATGGAACGGGACGTAGGTAATAGTAGTGTGGTGGTCCATAAAGGGATTTCGGTAGTTACTCGATAATATAAAAAAAATCGTCAGATCAAGGGCAGACAGAGATAGGAACTAGGAAGCCGTGTCCTCTTTCTGTGAAGCAGTGAAGAGCGAGCAGAGCGCGTGAGAAAACTATCCTCCTCATGTCCCGGCCGCTACAGTAGACGACTCTCTGGGCCTTGGGGATCGAGCGACAATCTCCGGCCACCCTAAGGGTGGGTCTGCGGTCGGCGGGCAACTCGTCCCCAGACTCGAGCAGAACCATACCCGAGCCTATTGACTGCTCACTTTCCCTCCTCAGTAAAAAAGGGTAGACAGGATCATTTTGTGCTAAAGAGCATATAATCATCCTGTCTTCTATTTCTTTAAAATTTTATAACAATTTTGAAGAACTATCGATCCCCCTTCCCACATTGGAGGAATGACATTTCACTAAGACATTTATTCTTTCTATCACCAAAATCCAGTTGTCTTCTACAACGATTGAGTAACTACAAATTTAGCATCATGGGCTACTATAATTTTGAAAAAAATCAATACACGCCCGACCGATTGGAAAAGCCAACCACCGCGTTTGGAAAAAGGATAGGCCCTACGGTTTTGCAGGTTAGACTTCCGACTTACTGCCACGTAGCATTTACAAAATTTAAATAAATTTTAGACGAGATTGTTGTTTAAGAAGCTTTGCGTGCAAATGTGCTTTCTGCCTAATAGTTTCTTACGATTCCTTATGCTACTCGTGTATTTATATTCCATCGTGGGGAAGTTTTATCAGTTTTCAACGGTTCAAAGAAGAATTAAAGAAAGGCCAAGTGATGCAACCGATTTCTTCAAATATGTAACCTCTAAAAAAGCATATATAGAATCGATTAGGATATGGCAGATATTTATCCAAGTAGTAGCTAATGTTTCGAGTTAATATTGTTTTTTGATTGAACGACCACGTGGCTCAACAGTTTTCTGGAAAATTCGAACCACGCCCGAGGCGAAGCCGCGAGATACGCATGCGCGCAGGTAGGCTGGCTATTTTTGAGACATGGGCGGCGCAATACCCCGGGAGCCTTTACCCTTACAAGTCGTATTAGTGTCCGTGTGATACATGGTTTAAATTTTTGGTGGGTGGTTCTACTAGGAAAAAGAGATAAGGTGATTTGCGGTTTCTATAAATAATTATCGCTAGTTGTGTTTAGCTTTTAAAGTGTAATTTTTGCATGGTGCGGTGTTATTGAGAATCTTTAACGGCCAATTATGTAGAATTTAGCAGAAACCGTCTACAAAATCGGTCTTTAGGAAAACCCTATGCATGCGTAAGCGCGGGTGAGCATACGATCTATGAAATTCTTTTTGGAAATTCAAACCACGCCCAATGCCTGGTTGCTAGACGCATGCCCGCGGGCAGTCTGCTAGCCAATATAACAGCTTAAGGTAGTTTCAAAATGGCGGACGCTTTGAATAGAAAGGTTGCAAAGACCTCGTGGCATATTCGATTTTTTAATTTGGAATCTTTCTGGATTTGTTCAACTTACAATTCTGCAAATGATGCCTGATATACCGTTAAATCGCATTATGATTTGCGAATATTAAGTCAATAGTTTATTTTAACTCAGCTGTCGGCTATTAGCGAATTCTTGTGTCTTGTTCAGTTCAGCATAGCGGGAGCACAAATGCAAGTCATGTTATTTTCAGTGTTATACTTTTTAATCTGTGGGCAGTTGTCTTACATTGTTTATCGATTATTCGGGCAAAAAATAATTCGGGTGGTAGCTGCTTTGCGGCGTAAATCTATTAATAGAATGTATGTGGTTACGTGAAAAACATTTCCTGGAATTAAGCCGGAAAACGCGAATACTTGTTAGAATAGCCACGTGGTGTAACGGTTTTCTGCAAAAAATCGATACAAGACCAACGCGTCCTTCGTAAAGTTGCATAGCACGCATGCGCGCAGGTGGGCGTTGTAGCTAAGCTGTATTGAATTCAGTATCTCGGGAGTTTGGTCGGTTACAAGTTGCATTAACGTTTAACTACGTGATCAAATATTTTCAAAGGTTTTCGGAAAGTTTTCTAAACTGTTATTTTAAAAAAACATCTTGTATTAAATCAACACGACGTGGCGTTGAGTTAAAGGGGCGTGGAAGTGGTTGGCTCGTTTTCTTTTTGGTATACCTGATTTGTTTATATAATCAAGTGTTAAATATTACTTAAAATAGTGCGAAAGTAGGCTATTAATAAGTCGGATAATAAACTAGGCAACTACGTGGCATAACTGTTTACTGTAAGATTAGCCACGCCCGATTAAAAGTCTCGTTTATATCACCTATCCAAAATGGTGGACGGATTTAATAGATCACATTGATCACGTGATTTGCCGTGTCTAAAAAGTAGATAAAAGCCGCTCAGCAAGCCTGATAAAATCGTTCCACATCCAACGCGTCCTTCTCGGAGCTGTATGGATAGCATGCATTTGCGCAGGTTACTTACTTGTTATGTGATGTAAAGGATAGTGCGTCTTATTATTGAAAAAATCAATGTACACATCTTGGACGGTGAACTTTCGGCTCTTAAGCAGTCTTTCTAAAATAGTCTTCTTTTCGCAATCTGTATTTTTTTAAAAAACACGATGTGTTAAGTCGATGGAATTTATTATTCTGGCTAGCTGTACTTAACTTACAAGTCAACCTATGCTTTGCCTACAATACATAATAAATTGTTCAAATTTTTTAATGTGAAATAAACAATAGTTCGTGGCGTAATAGTTTTCGGCTTAAATTGGTACGCGTTCGCAGCGTCCTTTGCATAAAGCATATGCGTGCTAAGTGCTGCAGACCACTTAGCGAGGTCCTGTAAAGTTTAGTATCCGTTAGTTGGCAATAAAGCCCTGGAAAGGTATATCTCACAATCGTGTTAACAAGTTCTTCGACAAGTACTTTCAAAATTCGGTATGTAGTAGAACAGCAAATTTAGCCACGTGGCGCATCAATCCACCTGAAATATCGAGCTATCCTATTTTATAATTATGTTATACGCGTGCGCGAAAAGCAGATTTTCCTGGTGCGTTAAAATCTTTTCATATTATTAGAAACGATCCCGTCTCATCGTCCGCCATTTTGTAGAAAATTCGAGTCTTCTCTCACCTCTCACCCCCTACGCATGCGCCCAGTTGCGTAGGTGAGCTGTCGGCCATTTTGAAAAGTGTCGGTCGGCTCATTACCGTGCGGGCGTTCTAGTTGACGGGTCGTGTGAACTGCGTCATCGAGAGTTACCAATAAAGGGCGTTCAACATTTGCAGTATTGGCTGAGACTTCAATAGGTATTAACATCATTTAATTGCTTCAACTGTGTATAATTGTGGGTATTATTTGTATGCAATTTGACCATATGCTTAGTTTATCAGAATCAGGTTCCCTGTTTGTGTGGCTCACCTTTCTACAATGTTAGCTAAACCGTATGTCTGTCCGTACCATCCCGCTGCTTATCCTGTTGTGGGGTTATCCTGGGCAACTTGGTCTATCATTTATCCTTTATCTCTATATCTACTCTATTTCTGTCTTATTATATGTGTGTCTGTCTATGTACATATACTTGATATTCTTAATTTATACAAAAATATATTTTGTGCCTTATACCTAACAAACAAGACATTTAAAGTTTGTATTGTAATTTTTAAATCACTTTAATATACTAAGTATTTTTAGTAATATCGGTCATAATTGTGAAATAATAATATATTATAATAATAAAAGAGTAAAATATTGTTAATTCTTTGTCCTAAATGCAAATCTCGAAATGATATTGTCTTCATAACTTGGCAGCCCTCTACAATATGAATGTGCTTAAATGTGTCTGCGGTGCAATGTGTAACATAACATAAGCAAGCTGTTTTATATTGATATACCTATATATACAAACGGCCGCAAACCAAATCCTCTACTTCCATTCTTGCTTATTATATGTTACTCATAGTGCCAAATTCTATCTGTGTCTATGTATGTAGATTTGATGTCAAAATTGTTAGTTTTATTTAGTTCTGTGTCTGTTTTAGTTATCATTGTAATAAGTAATTAGAAAGTTGAAAATGTAGTCAATGTTCTTCTACGTAGAAATTGTGAACTTGCATGATGTATCTTTGTTTAGAGAATAAACTGTCGTAAATGTATCTATTCTGCTTTTTTATTTGTACCTGTACTTTCAAAAAATATTGATTGATATGGTAAGACCTCTTTCTGTAGATAACTGCCTCTCTGCATTGGAAATTATTACTTAATGAATCCCTTTCACCATTTTCGCACTGTCCCATTACTGTTTAAATGTGTTTGTACTGATGAAACCAAAAGTCCTTTAAACAATACAAATCATAATATATTCTGCAGTAATTGGGCATTTCACTTTTGAAACTCCACCGTTAAAGTAAGGATTTTCCATGAAAAGCTATATAGGAAATCTATAAATAGTGCAATACCGCGTGGTTGGCACCACCGCGGGACGCATGCGTGAGTGCCCGCTGCACCCCGACCGCGCCCCTCAAATGAAGAGGGTCACTCGATCGATTGCTTCTCTGCACATGCGTCCCGCGGTTGGAAAATCGGTGCCAGGGCATCGTGGCCCCGCCTACGTCGCGAGATTAACGCATGCGTCGGCAGACCTAATATTCGAAAATGTCACATTACTACTTGCACATAGACATACTAGTCTACATAGTCATGTATTACTTACATTTACATAGTTTTACAGTTCTGTAAAGTACAAATGAGGTTCGATAACTTACTCTGTTTTCTTATTCTTGCTTGACAGACACGATGTACGACGCTGACATTTCTTGTTCGGTGTGAAGTTTGAAAATAACGGATTCAGATATTTGACTCAGATCATATCGGTAGAATCAGTTCAAAGAGGCATCTTCATTTTTAATAAGTAGTGTTGTAGGACTTCTGAATTTAGCGTTTTTGGCATTTAGCCTATTGGATTACTTGTTTGGACAGAACCTAGTTTTTTTGGTGTAGTACTAGGAATTATATCAATCGAAAAAGTCAACGCTTGCTTCACCAGCCAGATTTACTATTGATTACGATGATGGTTCGAGAAAAATAGTATGAACACGTTCTTTATTATTGGTTGTATCTGACAACAACTACCTCTTCTTATTTGGATAGGTAGGTATCAGATTACAAGAAATGTTTTTCATAGTAACTTAGCAACTACCACATAATGGTAAAATATTTTATTATTATTTTGGGACCGTAATTGATAGGCTTTGTGTAGGAGTAAGCCGCGTGGGTGGAACACGTGTAAGTACATAAGGACGCGGCGCGACGAAACAAGATGGCGTCGACAGTAAAAAAGCAGTGGCCATCGCGGGAATTGGCGATTATGAAGCCCGAATCTATTCAAAGAATAAAATAACTTACATTTAATTAAACGTGTTCAAAGATCAAAAGGTTTCTTTTTCTTTATTGATAGGTACTTTTGATTCTAATATTTGAAATCTTTTGAAACCATGTCGTTTCTTCAAATAAATTAGAAGTATATTATAAAGAGGGTGACTTACCAGTCATCAAATTAATACAGAGAAAAGAGCCGTACGTTCTCAATAGTCAAGGACAAGTCAATCTTTATTTCATCTTGTACAATGCCCAAATGATATGTTTTTTTTCTTTAACAAACTATCTGTAACTATAGAAATATATTTTTTAAATGAGTAACAAATATTAGTGTTCCTGTTAACAATATCATTATTATCAATAAGTTGCAATTGTTCTAACGTTAGTTCTGAAGAGGTCTCGCATTTTTCAAGGAACCGCTTTGGATGATATACGTACTGCGCACAGAAATACCAGATTAACCTTAATCGCTACAAAGAAAACAATCTATGTAAATATGTATTTTCGACGGTTTAAAATTGTTCGTGTTTGGTTTTTCGATGTAGTTTGGGAGATTAAGTTTTATAAATTTGGCTCTTTTTATCATTTAATATAGAACCTTCTGGTCGCCGCTTTCGCTTGGCTACAATGCTGATATTAATTTTTTTCACTATAATGGATGTTATTATACCTACCCAAATGCTTAACCATCTTCTTCAATCACTATCTATTAAAAAACCACATCAACATCTATTGCGTAGTTTTAAAGATTTAAGCATAGGTACATAATGAGACAGAAAGAGATTTCGTTCCATACTATTTAGTGATGATTAATTTAAAAGTCTGCTTCTTTGGACTAAAGAGTCCGTCTCTCTTTTACGTGTCCAGCCTTTAAAAAACCAAATAAAAGGAAAGTTTTAATAATACACATACATTAAGGTGCAGGACGCAGACATATAACCAAAATACAAAAAGAGTTGAAGGGTGATCGTTAGTGTAAAAAATCCTTTGAAGTTGAGCACTAAGGGGAGATTTAATCAAAATCTGCCATTGTATGTTTGCTAATTATATGCAGTGGACTAAAAATTAATCCGATGGACAAAAGACCGAGTGACCATTGAAGTTCTCAGTCGGCTGTCGCGAGGGGTCTTTTGTGATAGCCTTTTTAATTTTAAATCCATAGGGCTTGACCGGAAAAAGTGGCCATCGTCCAGTGAGCAGATTGAAAAAAAAATTAACTGCATTGTAAATTTGACTGATGCCTAGGGTGTTTAGCAGAGTGTTTAAACATCACTGTATTTTTTTATATAGTAGGTACTTTTTTTTTTTGTGAGGGGAAAATCATCAAATGACTTCTCCCGCCCAGGGCCGGGCAGGAGGGAGTGTCAGACTCTTACTGACTAAAAACCCCCCTGTTCCTTCCCCTGCTCTGTGCCGAGGTCGCGGTGCCTCATTGCGCTTACCCCGCAATCCCGGATATAGTAGGTACTAACAGTTCATTTCTTAATGATTGAGCATTTAAACAGTAATGGAAGGACACACTTAGAATATGTTCTCTCTTAAAAATCCTTAAATTCTCTATTATTTAGTAGTTATTGTTGGCATATTGGGGATCACTCTATAGTTCGTTGTGGTGTACAGTTACAGCAAAAATCCGCAGCCTGTACGACGCCCAGCTGCGGCTCCAACACAACATACAGCCGTTGCCTCTTGGCACTGACATTGCCAACACCGTCAAGTACTTTTCGCAAACATTACTCAGTAAGTATCCACTTCCAAAATTGACTGATAATTAGCCCCATGCTTCGGGATAAGGCTGTTCTGACAAGCTCTATTTAGTAATATACGTTGTCGAGTTCGAATCCGACAGTTTTTATTCAGTGTTTATCCAGTACATGAGACTAAGAATTAATGAAAACCCGTACAGCTTAATGGAATCCAAAGAACACTACTTAGTCGTAGATTTCTTTGTACGTTCCTGTTTGCGTATAAAAAAGTTGGCAGTCATCGTCTGTTAAACTAATTATACATGTCACCAGTCATGTATTTTTTAGAATATTTGGACATTTGGTTAGGCTTTACTAGCGACCCGTCCCATATTTAATGCTGATACTATATTTCTCCACTATTTAATGGATGTTATACATACAACCGTCTTCAATCACTATTTATTAAAAAATACGCATCAAAATCTGTTGCGTAAATTTAAGGATTTAAGCAAACACAAGACTTTGTTTTATACTATCTAGTGAAGTGACAGACATCGCATACATCTTTCTGTAGGCGTCCTCAAAGATGTTCCCCGCTCTCCACTGGAGATGCTGCGAGACGCGGACAATGATGGGGAGAGGATGGGCCTGTATCCCAACCTGGACTACAAGAGTCTGTTCAACGCGCTCTCGGGTCTCGTCGACTCAACGCCTCATCTGCAGTACGGAACGTTGCGTTAGTAGCACTATTGGTTATACATTTTCCATTTCTTTTTTTTACGTTTAGCAGGTAGTTAAGTAACAGGCTATTACCAGAGATAGGTCTCCTGGTGAAACAACAAACTACGTGATCCACAACGACGCTTCTACTGAACGGGTAAAAATGGCAGGCTTTAAAGACATTTAGAGATTCAAAGACCATGCGTTTGGAATCTGCTTATTGTTTGTTTTTAAAAACTTATTAATTTCTTTCCTACACCATATGTTTATCAGTCTGTATCGAATTATCTATTTCCAGCATTCGGGCAAGCCATCCTGCAATGTCTGGGCTGCCTGCTGCCCTTCTTGGAGTACGACATGATTGACAACCTTCCATTCTTGGTGGCTTATTGCGTCGCTATGTTCCCTGTGGCACTGCATCAGGAGATTCTACATCTTCTGTCGTATTACATCCTGCCTTTTACCATCAGTAAGTATTTTTGCTAAGGTTTTCCGGGATTCAACAGATTCAAAAGATTTTAAGTTAACAATATCATTAGTATCAATAATAAGTTGCTTTGGTCTAACGTTATTTTTTACTGTGTTTTTTTTAGTAATAAAGTGGTGTGTAATAAAGTTGCTAGCAGTAAATTATCGCTTATTTGACTTCGGATTGAGGTTCAAGGCCTAAATTTTCTTCTTAGTTCAAAAACTGAGATTCTCTCTAGGTATAATACAAGAAAATGTTGGCTTTGAACAGAACTTTAAATGAGATTATTGATTTCCAGCTCGCAAGTACGCGGGAATGGAGGAAGAAAGTCAGGCGTCTCAATCTGTAGCCGCCATCATCATGATGGTGTTTCAGCACTCCAATAATCCGGGTTAGTAAAAAATATATTGGAAAGTCCAGTTCAAGAAGTACTCAGCAAGATAAAAATAGATTATTATTTGAGTATGACAAAGCAATGCTTTGGCACTAACAGGCCGGCTCCATCAATACCGCGGTGTCAGAGAATAATGCCGTTAAACAAAACTTGCGTTGTGTTTGCTCAGTTTGAGTTTTTACCAGAGGCCCAATTTTTACTCACCGAATTCCATATCCCTAAAATCCAAAAGACTTGCAAAGCACTTGTAAATCCTTGGTGTTACGACCGAGACAGTTTGAGTGTAAAGTTGTAGGTATCCATGGGCGGCGCCACTTCGTCATCAGGGATATTCTGCTCATGTGCCGACCTATCTCAAAAAACACATTTGTTAATTAATTGAAACAGATACCTAACACGAATATCACGTGATTTATTGCTTAAAAAATAAAGTCCTTCATTTTAAAATCAACCATATGGCCAGCAAATCAAAATGGCGGCAGTGACACTTACAAAATGACACGTTTACACAAGAGGTCGCTGCGCACGCGGAAGACTTGTACAAAAGTTTGACAGGGTGTGTTAACGATCAGAGATGGCGCCACTAGTGACGGCTGCCGCATTGCGGCAGTTCCTCGCTTGTGGCGACATCTAGCGGTGTCAGACGCGAATGGAAAAATGATTTATGAGTTCGTTCACCCCGCCCGGGACTTGAATGTTTTATTACATTGTAGTTGAATACTGCTGGTGGATGTCGCGAGTGTCTAGTTTATTTTTATTAGTTTTAAATCATGTTTGACCTACAATGGTTTAGGTAACACTTGATTATTTTATTAGTTCCTTAAATGTGTTTCGGAAATGATTGAAGAGACTTTTATGACTTAGTATATTTTGTTTTTTTATTATTTTCATATTTTGTTTTTAGTTTTTTTGCTGTACTGCCTCAAAATGTTTACCAATGCAGTTTTAGTGGTTTTTGTCTAATTTCTAACATGTCACATCCCTAATCAGCAAAGGCTGGCAATACACTAGTGACTTATTTGGTGTTGCGAAATTTATCAGCTCATTTGCCTTAGTTTTATTTAAATTGTTTAGTAAGTTAGGTATCTTATTGTTTCTATTTGGTGTTCTTTTTTTAATTATTGTAAGGTTGTTATGATGTTATGGTATCAAATAAAAACTTAGCAGCTTGTAGATATGCATATTTTCTCAGTGCTCCTTGGACTTCCAGTATAGCGTTCGACACTAACCAACAGCATGTAATTTTTATTTACAAGAAGATAACGTCTGTTACACTAGAGGGCGTGGAAATGATAAATCACGATATAAAAATATAATATCAACTAACGCAATTAGCTGATTCAAGGATTTTAAAGGGTGGTGAGGGAATATCTCGTTTATCTTGTTTACCTTACCAGGACTTGTCATTAAGGATTAGATAAGCGTTAAGGGGAACCTAAAAGATTAAGTAAAAATATCTATCAATATTTTCAACATCGCTTGGCCTTACCAGGGCGGTGAGTTCCAGCAATGTAGAAGAATTAAGTAGACACCAGCAACATGGACGAGCAAATAGCTTCACTAAGAGGACTGACCGACAGACTGACACTATATCTTCAAAATTTTGTTTGACGTTCAAATGTGCCTGTTTTGTGGGCGTTTCCGTTGCGACAGTCGCTGCTTCCACTCGGTCAAAAGTGCCTGTAAGGGTATTTTTTTATGTGATAGATCGGCAAACGTGTAAACGGATTACCTGATAGTAAGCAATTAGCGTCGCCCATGGACACTCGCAACGATGGAGGAGTTATGAGTGCTTTGTCGACTTTTTGGGGATTAGGGTTTTGGAGATTTTGGGAAAGGGAACGGATTGGGGTAGGGGAAGGATTGGGCCTCCGGTAACCTCACTCACACGGCGAAACAACTCTTTGGTTATTTCACGGTTTTCTGTGAGGCCGTGGTATCACTCCGGTCGAGCCGACGCATGGCTCTCCCACACTTGATTCATTCTAAAAGTCTTCTTGTTTAACAGAAGACGTTTTCTAGCTGATGATGAAGACGATGATAATGCTATTAGAATCCACCCACCTAATAATAATAGTGACTCGCTCCACCTAACTACTTCATCATTGTATGGACCCAGGCGTCGTTAATTTGTTTGAGTTGACAAATACCACAGATTTCCGTACAATAATACTACTACGTCAACTAAATTTTGACTTTTGACTTGACACCAGAAGAGTTACACGTGCGTTTCTGACCTTTTGTGTTCTACGAAGATGAGAATTGGCCTTACTCGGCGAAACAACGCATGCAGTGTTTTACGCCGGTTTTCTGTGCGGCTATGATTTAGCTTGAGGCAGCAAGGCTATAACATTTTGAAGAATTTTGAGCTATTTGTCGGTGTTCCAGCGCACCACTGCCAGCTCCTGGAGTGCCTGATGTCGATGAAGCAGTGGGTGGTGAAGGACATCCTGTGCGTCATCGCGTACGGCACGTGGGGCGCGCGACTCTCCGCCGCCAAGCTGCTCTTCTACTACTGGCCGCCATTCGACGCCAAGCTCTTCGATCGGAAGGGACTGCTCTGCAAGTTTTCCAGTTAATACATTTTTAACATTAATATATATTTCTGCATGCACTTTCAAAATTTTTGTTATCAGTCCCAGATGTTATCGCCGTAAAGTTATTACATGTATAGAGGTTTTATTATTCCAAAAACTGCAACAATCCAATAAAACCGAAGTAATCATTATAAAGTCATTACAGTACCACTACTAGGCAAAGACCTAATAATAAGAGTTCTATATCTTCATGTTTGCTGTGGTTTATAAACGATTTTTCATCGTTGACTAGCGGTCCGCCCCGACTTTGCATGAATATTCGTTTATTACGCTGTCAGTTATTTGTTTTCTTAGTGAACCGCTACCGCATCAGTAGTGTTGCTGTTGCCCGATCTTACACTCTACATTGTAAAAATATTCTCTGTGTCATAGCAAAACGATCATAAAAAGAATCTTCGAATCGGTTCACCCTTTCGTGCATGGTACCATCACCAAGGGAATTCGGCATGCATTTTTATATATTTGTATTATCGCCACTTTATTTGTTATGAAAAACCAATATAAACTGGCCGTTGAATGTGCAGAAAAATGATAGAAAGTGGGGTGCATTATATTGGTAATTGTACGGCCCGCAGACGACCTGGTCCCGTTCCTGTGCCAGCGCGACATGTGCCCGAACGCGGGCAGCGCGGAGGCGGCGAAGGTCTGCTACGACCACTGCATCAGCGTCACCTTCGCCTCCGACAGCCCGCCCCCCCTCTATCTCTGCATCGAGTGCGCCAACGAGATACACCGGTACGTGACCATCTACACGGGGAAAAAGAAACTTATCTGGTCCTGATGGTGACGCTGGAGGGACAAAAGAAGAGAGTAACTAGAGTATTACTGGTCATTCGGATCAGCAGGGGATTAGAGATCAAAATCAGCTAGTTTTTGTTTTTTGTGGGATGGTCTGCAAACGAGTAGATTTCGTTGCTGTAAAGCTTTCAAAGAGGTCGTGGTATCACTCCGGTCGAGCCAGTACATTCTTTCTGAATCTTGGCCCAGCCTGTTCCGATAGACTATTATCACACTACTAAGAAGGATTTTTAGAAAAACTATAAAAATACATTACTTCGTACGCAACATTTCGAAGTCGTTAACGCGTAGGACTTCTCTAAAACTTGATAACTTCAATAGCAATAGATTATAAACGATTAGTGTATTTGTAGAAACTATATATCGTAATTCAAATTATTTCAGGGAACACCCCAACCAGCGGTTCTTTGACATCCTACATCCTCAACAACAAGTATCAATGGTCTGCGAGAATAAGGTATCTTATTTTGATATTTGTGACTACCCACATTTACATAATTGAGTTACTCTGGTGTTTTTAAGAATTTTAAGTATTAATTAAGTTGTAATTGTTATAATTTCAGAATTGTCGCTCGACCGACAAGGCTGCATATTCTATTTGCTTCTCCAATGAGTGTGCCAGTTACAATGGAAACCATCCTATCAGGTAATTAATACAACGTAAAAATAATATATTATAATGTCTCTTCTTAACGCGTCAGCGTCGCTTCAGTCAACGCGTTACGGGTAAAATTGTCACAAACAACAATATATTTAGGAATAACTAATATTATATAATTGTTTTGTTGCAATATAATATATAACATAGAACGTGTGTTTAGGTGAACATTATTGAGTGTAGTTAATGCAAGTGTACCTCCCCCCCCCCCAGGTACTGCCAGCAGTGCCACGGCAACCGGCACAACAGCCGGCGCGGGGGGGACCACGTCGTACACACGCGCCTGCCCCTCGCCTGGCAGATGGACAGCGACATGCAGACCAACCTCGTCGAGGCCATCATCAGGTGCTTCTTTATCATTTGGACTCATATTGCTGCGACCTACATGCTTTCACCAAAAACAATAACTCATCTTTCTCTGAAAAGAGCAGCTTTTATTCAATGCTGACCGTAGTATGCTTGATAACGATGACATAGCGCCGCCATAAACTTATTATTACATTAAGTAAAAAGACATTAAAACTAAGGCAAAAAGTAACAGAAGTCAGTCCTATTCAAAATTATAATTTAAAAGACAAATAATAGTCATTTATGTAAGTACTTATATTTTGCTCAAATAACAGTTCACGCCCTCTAATATAAACGTGTAACTTTTCAGCCTTCTTAAAGAAGCTAAGCCAATTAACATGGAGGATCCTGACAGTTCCACAGAGCAGCTAAAGCCTCCACTAAGCGTCGACTTGCCGGATCCCATATCCGTTGAAGATCGACAACTTCTTGGCAGGTATATAAATTAGAAGTAATTTGGTTGGTTTTTCGTCTTATTGTTGTATGAAAAGCCGTTGTTTGCAACTCAATAAAGGACCCAAAGTACACCCTTGGGGTACACCCTCCTCTATTAATTCTGAATTAGGAGTCTTAAGATTGTAATTTATGAAGTGTTAATTGTAGATAAATTTTTTATTAAGTTCCAAACTGTTTTTCTTATCTTCTACTTTCGCAATTACTTTTTAATTAATAAATTGATGAAGTACATAATTAAATGCTTTAGTTGTGTCACATAAACGAGTTGAATTTCCCTGTTGTTTAGATATGGAGTATGGCTGATGGTAGGGTTGTGTACTCCAAACCCTGACACTCCTGATGAGATCCTCGGACGTCTGCTTTCCGTGCTATTCCACTGGTTTCACGTGACTTCCTTCTCTTATACTGGTTAGTGTTTTGTTATTGTACTTTTTTATAGGGCCTCGAATATTTGAGCAGAAACATGCATATGAATACCGAGCAATGTGCTTTAAGTATGATACCCGAGTTGCTAAATATTCTGGAATTTTTGGTTTTAAATACTCTGAATTTAATTCTAATCTGAGTATTGGAATTTGGACAACATTTCCTGAAAATTGGGTAATCAATGTAAATTACTTTCAATATAATAAGGATTTACATGATATACAGAGACACCATGTTCACCCATTTTCGAACCACCCCAGGACTTATAATCATGTGATTTTTGGAAGATTATACTGTTATATATTGTTTCTAGGCGAAACGGCGAGCACGGTAGAGAAGTTGAAAATCGAGCACGTGTGTGGGTGGGTGAGGAGTATCGCGGAGTCTCACCGCGGGGTACTCGTGGCCTGTCTACTGCCTCACCCTCCGCACTACACGCGCCAGGCTGGACATTGGGATAACCTCGCCTCGAAGACACATCATCTTAAGGATGGACTTAACAGGTCAGAAGGTTTTTATCATTATCCTTTTAGCTAAGTTAATAAATACCCAACGTTGGGTAAAGGATCACCAAATATCAACCGAAAGAATAATTTCCTTCTTTAACCTTTCAATAGTGATAATTCGAGATACAATAGAAGAACAATAGGTGTGCGAACACCGGCGTTCGCTTGGTGTTTTATGAATTAAAATAATGTTATAATGTCAAAATCAAAATAGTAAGCTACTTTTGTCTAATAATTATCGCAAGTAAAACAATTTATTCAAAATAACGACTTATTCACTTGTAGTTATTCAACCTCGACGGATAAGAGTTTCGATATGAAACTAGTAGAGTTTTTCTCAGCTGCGTCTTGTGAGTACCTGGTATTTTCAATAAAAAACTGTGTAGTTTCTTGGGTCAAAAATAAATTATTTTGACTTTTCAATTCAATGTATTATGTATTATTAACATATCATACTTTTATTCATTGATTTGACATTCTACAAAATTTTTGATGTTTCCTAGTTGTCTTTTTAAAAATAAGTATGCTGTTTGACCTTAAACATCACGACGTCATATGTTGAGATCTCATACAAAATTCATGGAAAAGTATCGTTTTTAACATTTTAATAAAGGTGACTTTTTAATGGTGCATCCGTAGTGCCCCATTGTGATTCGGTAATTTGTAGTTAAATAAGTTAATATTTTTTCAGACTTTACTGCCTGATCCCTTACGGCATCATCACCCAGTCTATCTGGGACTATATCATGCCGGCTTGGATGGAGGCTATCTGCACTGATGTACCGGAAAAGGTAAAAACTACAAATCCTTGATGTTGCGATTTATAAAAAAGTAAAATTAATTTACTATTTTTTCAAGTACTTACGATTCTCAAACCATTGATCAACTAACTGCGCTGTCCAAAAGCCAATTACGTTAACGATCACCAGAGGAGTTATGTGAGCATTTCTAGCATTTTGGGGATTAGGGGTTGGACCTCCGGTAACTCACTCACAACACGAAACAACTTTAGCAATAGTTTGGCCTTATAATGATTTTATAAATTTTCCAGGAACTGATGGAGCTGAAAGTCCCTCTAGGCAAGATCTTGGAGCCTGAAGGTTCTATGGTGGGTGTGGATGAGAAGAACCTCTACAAGTTCGCAGTTCTCAAGGTCACGGATACTCCAACACCTGACACCGTTCTACCTGTGTTGGAGTGGTTCCAGGTACGATCATCTAAATCTGATATCTTAGTCAAAAGTTACGATGTTTGGATGTTTGTTACTCAATCACGCCAAAACGGCTGGACGGATCTGAATGAAATTTGGCACAGGTCTAGGATACACTCCGGAAAAGGACATATATAGGTTACTTTTCATCAACATACCACGCGGGCGAAGTCGCGTCGCGTTTTATCTATAGATTTGGACTCTCTTGTCTGAAGAGTTCAATATTGCTTGAACTTTCTAAGTTTTGAAAACATTAATGATATAGGCATAAGTTAAGCTTAATAACAAGTAAGTGTCGGAATAGTCGGAAGGCTTATGCCTTAGAATTTCTTAAAAAGATGTCAATGATAAAAAAACCCTTAATCGTAAAAAGCTTCTTCCATGTCATGCATATTAAATGTAAACTAAGCACATGGACTTTAGAGTTCATTATCGCTTGCAACGATTACCTTATTGTTAGTTTATCTTCCAATTATTTCCAGACGATATCGATGTTGGACGTCCGTATCCCGCTGAACCAGCTCTTCGACCTGTTCAGCCACTGCGTCGTCAACCTGCCGGAGAAGATATTCAAACCACCTACTCTAGGTAATCTATATTGATACCACATACCACCCCATCTTGTATTTATCGAAAGAGTCAGTTGATCACCTTAACTGACTCTTTCTCGGTTGACTGAGCCGTCTGTCTGCCGGACTGAGCTTTTTGGTAGTTATGATGAGAGCCCCATGGCCGAATTCTATTCCTAAACTACTGGCAAAGAAACTAAGAAACTATCCTGTATTCGAGAAAGCACAATTTTTAACGGAGAGATATTTAAGAGAAAGGTTAGGAACAATTCCAGGCTTTATTTTTATTCCTAAGATGTTTTAAAAATGTTTTAAAGATACTCGTGATACAGGATAGTTGTTTTTTAAACACAACGTCGTAAGTTTTCCATGTTTGTAAACTTGTATGTATTAAAAATCAACTGGAAATTGACAATTACAATCTTTAAATACGTAAACATAATACATATGTACATGTTTAGATATAAATCGTATTCACAACTTTCAAAAAGTCCATTCCATTTCAACTCAATATCACGTTGATTTGTATGCTTAGTCAGACAAATGTGTAACATTTTCCTGCAGATGGTTCCAAACCTAAAGACTCGAAGGACTCCCCCAGTAACACAGACAAAGAGAAGAAGGAAAAGGATGATCAGATGAAGCCGCAGAATCTTACCTGCTGTATACTCATGTTGGATATACTGCTCAAGCAGGTCGGTCTTATTTTATGCTTAGTCACACAAACTCGACCTCTATAAGCGCTCTCGACCCTCTAGATACACATCTCTTTACTGTCGCATTCACTGAAAGTCATATGCACATACACAGCCACATCTCATGTGCATATCGTCTCATGCGCTAACGATTATATGCACTAATAGTAAATTGCGCTAACGGCGAAGTTGCCACATGCGCGAACTGTTATATTCATCGACTCTCATGTGGGGCTTAGCTGTCACCTGTGCAAGCGATCATATGCGCTGAAACCTAATTGAAAGTCGCCCATGTGTACTAGCTGTTACATGCACTAACTATCGCTTTACTAAGGATTATAAAAACGTACTGACATATGCGCTACCGAATACAAATTTTACAATTGACTGTTGGCGCGATGGCTGGGCTACTAACTACCGCGCAGCGTGTCGTGGGTACTATTCCCGCACGGAACAACTCTTTGTGTGATCCACAAATTGTTGTTCTGGGTCTGGCTATCTAGTGTATGTGAAATTGTATGTTTCTAAACACATCCACGACACAGGAGAAAATCCAAGGGTAGGGAAACGTTTTTTTCTAAAAACAGAACAAATATATGCGCAATTGACCGCCAACGCTAACAGTTACATGAGCTATTTCCCACATGTACACTCGCTGTAATGCGCAGACAATCACATGCACTAGCAGACATGAACTGTTGCATGAACTCTCCCATAATGCGCTAACGCTGTTTGACCACATACACATTCTCTGACATTTGCGTTGTCATATGCGCCAACGATCATAATTATATCGTATCGTAGATGGAGTTACAACAGCGTCGTATAAACAGCCAGAACGTGAGCAGCGAGGCCACCAAGCTACTGCGGCTCATGCTGAAGTCTAACCAGACCAACACCATAGAGCACGGTCAGTATAACACTTTTCTTATTCGCTGCTACTAAATGTATGCACTGCCAGTGGTTTTTATTTTCCCCACGCAAAATATAAAATGTTGCGTAATATTAATGATTTGACATGTCAATTTACACTGTGGCGTAGAAATAGGGAAAATATCATTTTTAATACAGTGGCGTATTGCAGGGACGTGTAGCGTTCGGGATCTGGGCTATTTCACACTCGTGCTTATTTTTGCCTTTCCCGAACTCGTGCGTTTTGTTTCCTAAATGTCAAAATAATTTCTATTAAAAAAAAAACAATCATGAAGTTTTAACTAAAAAAGAAATCATACATTTTTGCGATTCATGCAATTTTAAGTGTGAGAGAGCCAAGCTTCGGCACGAATGGGTCGGCTCGACCGGAGTAATACCACGGCCCCACAGAAAACCGGCGTGAAACCATCACAGCGTTGTGTTGAGCCGTGTGGGAGAGGTTACCGGAGGCCCAATTACCCCCATCCCTTACCAATCCTTAAATAACTGAAACCTTTTTCCCTAAAAGGCCGGCAACGCACTCGTTACTCCTTTGGTGTTGCGGGTGTCCATGGGCGGCTCCGATTGCTTACCATCAGGTAATCAGCCTGCTCGTTTGCCGACCTAGCCCATAAAAAAATCTTTACTTAACCCTACAATGTAATAAAACTAATGGAAATATATAAAAAATATAAACTATACAGCAACACACTGAATAATTGCATTTACAAGATTAGACAACTAGAAATATATACAGGTTATAACAAAAATAAATATAACACCACATGGGCAAATATTAATAAAAACAGGGATGACCAAAACAAGAGAACATAAATTGACATAATTGTTAGAGAATTGTTTATTGCATAATTGTTTAAATAGATACTGGGATGTGTAATATTTATTGACCAATAGTAATAATTACAAATGTATATTCTGCCGAGATAAACAAAACTTCAGAAAATTTTGTATAACGAACACACAATACCTATTTCGCATACATGGATGTATAAGATGTAATAAAAATTAAACTATGTGCACCATACATATTTCAGCCGCTGTGTTATTAAGGAAGGATTTTTTTCAAACATACTGAAAAAATGAATGATTGAGCCACTTTATAAACAGGGTACCACTACAGCCATGTATATTCCACAAGTTGCGGCGATTTTCCTAGATACGACCAAGGCTTTCGATTCTGTGGACCATAATTTGATCTAAGACTGATTAGAAAGGCGAATAAGAGATAAAGCGTACTACTTGTATAGCAGACAACAATGTGCCGTAATCTGTAAAATCCATTACAATGATAAAAGAGGGGGGTACAGAAAGGCGTATCGGCAAAATCATTTTGGAATGCCTCAAGGCAGTATATTGGGACCATTCTTGTTCATTGGCCTTTGACATAGATTTTTTTTAACTTTGTTTATTGAGTCATAAATTATTTTCGTCAAAGATTAATATGCCAAAATATGGTCGGTGATTAAGAAATGACCATTTAGCCAGAAGATATGTATAACATTGTCCTTTTTTAAAGATCACACGTTACTCGATTTAAAGATTGCTTGTATTCCTATGTTAACTACAATGAAGGGGTTTAAGGATAGTAAGTTACGATGTATGTGTCTGAGGTCTGGTGTGAGCCTAGCTTAGTTCGAGATAATGTTTTTGTTGTTTGTTGTTTGTAGCGGTGTGCCAGGCGGAGGGCGCGTGCTCGTACTGCGAGGCGGCCGCGCTGTGGCACCAGCTCGCTGTACTACTCGTGCGGGCCCTCGTACCCGACCGGCCCAAGCCGGCCCCGCAGGTAGCCCACTGCTCTATACTAGCTATAACTGCTCGTACTCGACCGGCCCAAGCCGGCCCCGCAGGTAGCCCACTGCTCTATACTAGCTATAACTGCTCGTACTCGACCGGCCCAAGCCGGCCCCGCAGGTAGCCCACTGCTCTATACTAGCTATAACTGCTCGTACTCGACCGGCCCAAGCCGGCCCCGCAGGTAGCCCACTGCTCTATACTAGCTATAACTGCTCGTACTCGACCGGCCCAAGCCGGCCCCGCAGGTAGCCCACTGCTCTATACTAGCTATAACTGCTCGTACCCGACCGGCCCAAGCCGGCCCCGCATGTAGCCCACTGCTCTATACTAGCTATAACTGCTCGTACTCGACCGGCCCAAGCCGGCCCCGCAGGTAGCCCACTGCTCTATACTAGCTATAACTGCTCGTACTCGACCGGCCCAAGCCGGCCCCGCAGGTAGCCCACTGCTCTATACTAGCTATAACTGCTCGTACTCGACCGGCCCAAGCCGGCCCCGCAGGTAGCCCACTGCTCTATACTAGCTATAACTGCTCGTACTCGACCGGCCCAAGCCGGCCCCGCAGGTAGCCCACTGCTCTATACTAGCTATAACTGCTCGTACCCGACCGGCCCAAGCCGGCCCCGCAGGTAGCCCACTGCTCTATACTAGCTATAACTGCTCGTACCCGACCGGCCCAAGCCGGCCCCGCAGGTAGCTCACTGCTCTATACTAGCTATAACTGCTCGTACCCGACCGGCCCAAGCCGGCCCCGCAGGTAGCCCACTGCTCTATACTAGCTATAACTGCTCGTACCCGACCGGCCCAAGCCGGCCCCGCAGGTAGCCCACTGCTCTATACTAGCTATAACTGCTCGTACCCGACCGGCCCAAGCCGGCCCCGCAGGTAGCCCACTGCTCTATACTAGCTATAACTGCTCGTACCCGACCGGCCCAAGCCGGCCCCGCAGGTAGCCCACTGCTCTATACTAGCTATAACTGCTCGTACCCGACCGGCCCAAGCCGGCCCCGCAGGTAGCCCACTGCTCTATACTAGCTATAACTGCTCGTACCCGACCGGCCCAAGCCGGCCCCGCAGGTAGCCCACTGCTCTATACTAGCTATAACTGCTCGTACCCGACCGGCCCAAGCCGGCCCCGCAGGTAGCCCACTGCTCTATACTAGCTATAACTGCTCGTACCCGACCGGCCCAAGCCGGCCCCGCAGGTAGCCCACTGCTCTATACTAGCTATAACTGCTCGTACCCGACCGGCCCAAGCCGGCCCCGCAGGTAGCCCACTGCTCTATACTAGCTATAACTGCTCGTACCCGACCGGCCCAAGCCGGCCCCGCAGGTAGCCCACTGCTCTATACTAGCTATAACTGCTCGTACCCGACCGGCCCAAGCCGGCCCCGCAGGTAGCCCACTGCTCTATACTAGCTATAACTGCTCGTACCCGACCGGCCCAAGCAGGCCCCGCAGGTAGTCCACTGCTCTATACTAGCTATAACTGCTCGTACCCGACCGGCCCAAGCAGGCCCCGCAGGTAGCCCACTGCTCTATACTAGCTATAACTGCTCGTACCCGACTGGCCCAAGCAGGCCCCGCAGGTAGCCCACTGCTCTATACTAGCTATAACTGCTCGTACCCGACCGGCCCAAGCCGGCGCCGCGGAACGCCTCTATTGATATAAAGACTTTGATATTAATTTACAAGTTAAGAGTCTTAAACTACACTAGCGCATCTACCATAACAACCGTATTCTTCAGGCATCAGTAGAAGACTTATGGGCAGAACCTCCATGCCACAAGAAGGCTCCGTCGGAAGAGGAACGCAGCAAGTCGGGGGGCACTCCGGCGACGTCAGTGGACGCCCTCATGTCTATGGCGCACCCGCTACATGAACGCGGCGCGGGCGCAGTGGGCGGGGTCCTCGTACACATGCCACATGTACGTACATCACATCTCCATAACACATCATCTCACTAAATCTCTAGTAGATGTTTTATCGATGTTGTTCATTCAATCTGTGTTGGTTCAATCGATAGGTTTATTTTATTCCAAATCGATTCCTTTGCTTCTCTATTTTTCACAGTTCTATAAACTTTTGCATGGGCTAAAATTAAATAGTGATGGATATTTATTGTGTTGGATCTTTTTGTGCTCTGTTTTATATAGCAGATGAATTTCTTTAAAAGATTTTCAATTATATCCTCTGGTAATAAAGTTTAATGTCGAACGAATTTTACAGATTAAAGAAGTTTGTTTTTGAGAAGGTAAAATGAACGATAAACACAATAACTTACCATCGTTTAAAGTAAACAATAATGGAACAACAAGGTATTGGACATTGTTCAGTGGGTTGGCTAGGAAATCAATGTGTTAGTAAATATAATTGTAACGTAGTTGTATAGTTTGTTCATTTCATGCAACTCTCTCTCATAAGCGACGTGGGCTCGGATGCCACGATCACTAAATCTTCGGGCGACACACAAGTATGTCACACTGGTTTATTACAAGCTTCCTATCTAGATGTTTTACATTTCAAAACATTGTTTTCTTACTTCTTTAACAGAATATATTTGAAGAGGCAATGTGACGAAAGACTTATCACAATTTACCTTGCAACTTCACTTTCTTAAAGTCTAAATTATCGACAAAAATTTATGACTTAAGATACGATTGAAAAACGAAATACAAATTAACTTAATTTGTTCCATTTTGTACTTTAACGGTAAATAATAAAGTCTAGTATTCATGTAAAACATCTCGGTAGCAAAGCGTCTATCTAACCTAACTCTTGTGCTTATTCATATGTGAATGTGTTTTGTTTTATTGATGTTTAGATGCTGGCCAATTTTGTACTTTATCAGCCAGTAATAAGTGATTAAATTAAATTGTTGAGTTTTTATCTTGTCTTGCTCTGCGTAAAAAAACGTAATCTAATTTGGCTTTGTCGTTCGGTTATTGTAATATGTTAAAGTTTTTTTCATTCTGTCGGTGAATTAAAACGTGTGATAACCATGCTTCACCATAAATGTGCCGTGTGTGTGAGTCAGGTAACCAGAGGCCCATCTTCGCCCCATCCCTAATCCTCAAATCCTCAATGTTGAAAAAGCCGACACACACTTTGCATCTACTCTGGTGTCCATGGGTGGCTACGATTGCTTACTATCAGGATTTTGCCATCGAATGTCATGGTACAAAATTGGCCTTAATTAAGACTCCACTGTGTTTACATAATATTTAAATAGCTGTTGTAGTGTTAGTACATAATATAACAAGCTTAGTTCTCAATGTATTTCGCAGTGGAGTCAGTAGTTTGGAGTTGTATTGTAGTCCTGATCGAAATATTTATTGTTTCGGTCAGTATAAATAAAAATAAAAAAGTATTATTCAATTGGGTACTTGACGACTAGTCAAATTCATGACTGTGCTATTATTAATACCTACGAGTAAAGATTATTAAGAAAGTCTTTAAGTCAATTAACGAATGTGTGATGATCTTTTAACATTTGAGTGCATTGAAAGTTAATAAGTTAAAATGATTTATTTCTGACTACATAGATCAAGTACCCAGTTAATTGTTTTTGTTTTTAATTAATAATCACCATAGACGAAAATCCAAAATTTGTATAAAATTCCTTCACACGAAAAACAGGTAAAATATTGGTTATAATTCGATTGGTTACAATATTAACTACAAAAGTTCCTAAAATTATTCGAACTTTCAATCAATAATAAAAAATAGATATTAAATAATATAGAGATAGAATCCACAAATTAAAATTAAAGAGAAGTATATTTTTATTAGAAAAATAAACGTAGACCAGACAAACTTATAAAAGCCATAATTATATTTTAAATTTATCTATCTGTTAGTTGCAAAACAATAAGGAATATAGTACAAGCACTTGTTAGTTGGCCTTGATATTTATGCCTACTAAGGGCCTGCTTCAAGTTTAAATAAATAGCAATGGACTATGGACTATCTGCTTCATAAGTTTATCGGGGACTTATGTGAGGATTTAGTGTGTGAGATAGAGTGGGATGCGCAGATAATGACGGCGACGGTGGAGACTATAACGGAGCAGTTGGACATGGCGGTGTCGCTGCCCCCGGCCGACGCGCCCGCGCTCGCCACCGCGCATACTGTCACTCTCACCGACACCGATGTCGCCACTGCTACCGCTGATGTAAGTATCTACTTATTATTCTTCATCAAATGGGAGAAGCGATTCGCCTCAATTGTTATCATCAAATGACTAAAATCATAAAATGACTTCTCAAATGAATGTTTAGGCAAAAGTCAAAAGTCAAAAGTCAAAAATCATTTATTTCAATTAGACCACAGTAGGCACTTTTGAACGTCAAGCAAGCAAAAAAGGAAAAAAGTATATATAACAAGAGCTTTAAAATTAAGCGTGTCAGTCTGTCCGTCTGTCCTCTAGTGAAGCTATTTGCTCGTTCCAAAGTGTAGATTCCTATGGAGAAGAACGAGCAAGAAACTCCATGGTTACTCTTTTTCAATCAGTTTTACAATACATTTCTTTGTTACATCATTTAGTCGGTTCTGATATGTGAGAACAATGTAACACTAATGTTCAGGCAAAAAGTACGAAAAAGAAGTGAACCTCAAGGACAACATATTTAGACAGCCTGGAGATGACCAGTCCCAATAGGCGGCGCCCGTTCACGAACATGACACGTACACCAGCACCGCCCAACTCAACCATATTATAGGGAATTGGACGATCCAGTGCCCGTGCCACCGCCAATGAGACCTCTGAGTGAGCATGACAGCTCCCAGCCGACACAAGTACCTATATTCTACAAGTCTTACTTAATTATAATAGGTTACAGGGCACTCACATTTACAAAATCTTAGAAGTTCATCAACAATTAACAACATAGTGTACAATTGAATAATTAAAAAAAAAAAAAATACTCTAAACATCCTGTGGAGTAGGACCAGCTAGCCTCCAAGCATTTTTATCTTGTATATAATCATTTAGTTTGTAGTATGCTAGTTTACATAAATGTTTCTTTATACATAATTTAAATTTGCTTTCATTTAAATTTTGAATTTCAACTGGGATTTTATTATAACATTTAACACAGAAACCCAGGAATGACTTATGCACTTTTGCCAATCTAAATAAAGGCTGACTCAATCTATTCCTATGTCTAGTATGATAATCATGTTTGTCAGATACCTTTACAAATAAGTGTAGGTTTTTCCTAACATACATAATGTTTTCATAAATAAATTAACTCGGTACGGTCAGAATGTTGATCTCTTTAAACTTTTCTCTGAGAGATTCGCGACGACCTAAGTTATATATAGCTCTGACGGCACGCTTTTGCAAGATAAAGATAGACTCAACGTCAGATGCCTGTCCCCACAACAGAATTCCATACGACATGATGCTGTGAAAGTAGCTAAAGTACACTAGTCTTGCCGTGCCGACATCGGTTAGCTGACGGATCTTCCAGACAGCATAAGCTGCAGAGCTCAATCGTCCTGCTAGAGACCTGATGTGGGGCCCCCATTGCAACTTCTCATCTACAGTGATCCCCAGGAAAGTAGTCTCTTTTACAAATTCTAGTTTCTGATCATTTAATAATATATCATCACATACGTTATTTTTAACATTTGGTAAAATAAATCTAATGCATTTAGTCTTTTTATCATTTAGTAATAAGTTGTTTATTGTAAACCAATTTTGAACCTTCATTAAGGCATTATTAACTTCGTCATATTTGTTTGTTCGTCTATTTATTTTAAAAATCAATGAAGTGTCATCAGCGAATAATACCATATGCGGTTCATTTTGGAACATATGGGGCAGGTCATTTACATAAACTAAAAATAGAAAAGGACCTAATATTGAGCCCTGCGGTACGCCCATAGATACGCTAGCACCCAGTGAGTTAACTTTGTTGACTTGTACTTTAATTTTTCTTTCTTGAAGGTATGATTTCAATAAGTCTAGGGATACCCCCCGAATGCCGTAGTGTTCTAGCTTCAGTAACAGCGTCTCGTGCTCAACACAGTCGAATGCCTTTGAAAGGTCGCAAAATATTCCGATGGCATCCTGTGCTTTTTCCCACGAGTTGAGAACTTGTTTTATAAGTGATACTCCTGCGTCCGTAGTGCAACGTCCTTTGGTGAACCCGTATTGATGGTCATGGAAAATACAATTCGTGTTAAAGTGACGCAGCATTTGAGTAAGCATCAACCTTTCGAACACTTTACTGAGCACTGGCAAAATAGAGACCGGCCTATAGTTATTAGGTTCTGTACTATCACCTGATTTAAATAATGGAACTACTTTACTATGTTTCATTAAATCCGGGAAAACCCCTTGATCTACACTTTTATTAAAAATGAAAGTTAAGTGCGGCGCAATTGTCTCTATAAACGACCTGCACACTCGAACAGACATTCCCCAAAGATCTTCAGTTGACTTTACTTTGATCTCATTGAACGCCTTTATTACTGCCTGGGGGGTTGTGTATTGAAAGCTAAAGTCAGAAGGACATTCTTTGACGTTACCCCTGAGAAGCTCGACAGAAAGTGCTGGAGATGATTTTAACGTTTCCGTAGTTTTAAGAGGAATATTTTTAAAGAATCTTTCGAATTCCTGGGCAACTGACGAATTTGAACTAGTATATCCCTTTTCGGTTTTTAAATTAAATTCAGTGTTTTGTGATTTATTTCTACCTGTTTCTTTATTAATTATATTCCAGGTAGCTTTTATTTTGTTTTCCGCGGTCCTGATTTTATTACTAATGTGGAGCGATTTAGCATGCTTACATACTATTTTAAATATTTTTGAATATTTGGAAACATGTCTGCGAAAAGCCTCGCTACTATTAAATGGTTTCAGGCCGTATAGCTCAAATAACCTGTCTCTACTTATACGAATACCTGGTGTAGCCCAGTCACAGAATACAAATTTACACTGAACATTTTTACGTTTCAAAGGAAATAGTTTATCGAATTGTATTTTTATAAGGGATAATAAATTAGCATATATCTCACTCGAGCAATTATTGTCTTGTACTTGGCTGCATAATTCATGTTTTAGCTTATTATTTAATGAATAAATTTTTTTGTACGTAATTTGTCTAAACAATATTTCCTTTTTTGGCACAGTTGTTATAGTATTAAAGTTAACTGTGAGCCCACTGTGATCAGATGGTAATCTATTTACAATTTCACTTTGTAAATAATCACAGTTACAGAAAATATTATCTATACAAGTTGCCGAGGTGGATGTTACTCGGGTGGGCTCAAGGAAAACATTAGACAAATCAAATGATTGAAAGAGACTTAACAAGTTTGTACAATGAGAATTGTTTTCTAAGAGATCAACATTAAAATCGCCACATACTATTGTACATTTACTACTAGAACATGTTTTCCGCAGTACATCTTCCATTACAGAGCGAAAAATATTTAGATTCTGTATGTTAGGAGGCCTATAAACACATACTACAATATGCCTATCCAGCTCAACACAGGACAACTCTATTGTATGTTCAATTGACAGCAGGGCAATGTCTTGTCTTTCTTTATATTTTATTGAGTTCTTTACTAAAATCAGGCTACCACCATGTATCATTGCTTGGCGGCTATAATTGCTGCCAACACAATAGTTATTGAAGTTAATTGTTTCTACTTGATAATCTTTTAACCAATGTTCAGTTAAACAAATAATATCATATTGGAATTTCTCTAAAAACAATTCAATTTCTAAGAATTTTGATGATAAGCCCTGAATATTTTGACTGTACAATGACAACAAGTTATCTAATTTAGTTTTATGTTTTAATTCAAATTGATGCTTAATATCCAGAAGAAACCTTTTCAATGAATGTGGTTTTTGAGTAATTTAATTGGTTATCTTCTGTTGTCGTGGAAGTCAGTTTAAAAGAATATTATCCAGAGTACTATCCACATTTGTCAATAAATCTGGAGCCTCCTTCGTACTATTGTATGTACAATTAATCTCTATATTGTTAGATTGTCTAAACAATATAGTTTTGTCACTAAAACTACTTATTAATAAATTAATACTATTTGCTAGCAAACTAGCAATTAATAATTTACATTTCCTGGGAATATACATATAATCCCGAGTCAACTTAAAACCACTAACAAATTTGTTAGTGTCAAAAAATGATAATTTGTCACTATGACAAGAAGTCAAAAAAAATATTAAATTGTTCAGATGATGGATTCTACTATTTTCACTTTCTGACAAAGTGTCAGCATATGGGAATGCACATAACATTATATTCCCTGTGTTTAGTCTTAATAAGGTGTTGATACCATCAGTTATATCCCGCTTGTTTACTCCTGTACTATCACCCATCAAAATCACTATTGGCTGATTTTGTGTGATCTGTTTTTGTGAAATTATTTTAATAATCTGGCCAAATTTTATATTATGATAACAGTAATTAGTTATCCTATAGTTAAGGCAATTGGCAATAAGTGACCCAATACCTGCACCCACTGAGTCCGTAAACACACCAGCGCTGTATGTAACAGCTGGTTGACTCATTGGTTGTTGTACAACTTCTGGCTCAGAAGGTGGAGTGAGGGCACAGCTACAAGAAAGATTATTTGCAAGAGACTCATACCTCTCAGCACTATAAGTTACTAGATCCACAAGTTTACCTGCCTCAATCATATGTTTGTTTATTTCCAATTGGGCAGATTCATATTTTTGGAACATATCATTTAAGAACATTTCTCTTTGTAGAAGTTCTTGTTTAAGCGATTGAACATCTATGTCATATACTGCCCGATGTTGTTTCAAATCACTTTTGCATGATTCAAGTTCTTGCAATAATTTAATTTTTTGTTTTCTTAGGTAAATATTTGTTTTACACAGATTTTGCTTCTTTTTCAGTTTTTTAATGATTTTACTTAGTTTTATATATTTTTTTAATTTATTGTGGCTATTGAATACAGGGCAAGCACTGATAGTATCATCACCGGTTAAATCAATTGTAATGGCTGGTTCACAAATGTCACCGGATCCACTACCAACCAATTCCTCATATAAACTCTGAGTGTTGACCGACAGCATAGAGTTTTTGGTAGCCTCTAACGTATGGATTACATTTTGTGCTATTCGGAGGTCATGCTCCAGATGAGTTATGCGTTTAAGAGCATGTTCGTGTGTGTCGGTACACTGCTTAAAAGTATCAACATTCTTTAATAATTCATTGTGATGCTCTAGCAGGTCCGTGTGACATGAGTGTAATTCAGCCAATTCGTTTTTAAGTTGTGTTTTTGTCAATTATGTTTTTCACTTCAACTTCACTGTCATCCCGCTCCTGCAGCAGTTGGTCGCACAGGTGCTTAGAAGATTCTAGCTCCTTGAGGGCTGCCCTCAGTTTGCTCTCCATATCCTTTGCCCGAGTCATCATACTGAAATGAAGGGATGGTATTCTGAAATGAAAGAGAAAAAAAAGGGCAGAAAAAAAAAACAGGGAAAATTACTTTAAGCTAGGTTTGAATGAAATCTATAAGGTATTAGAAAAATAAGAAAAGAAAGGAGTGAATAATAAAGCTGTAAATTATTGAGTATGATGAAAAAATGAACTGTAACTATAATGATGAATTTAATTTATTGTATGCAGGTAGTTGGAAAACAAAGGAATTGGATTAATACTTTAAGTTTTCTTAAGATTTGTAATTTGTGATTAATTTAAAGTACAAATAGACTTAATCACACTTATTACACTACTTATTGGACTAATTTAAATATGTATATTAAAGTATCAAACTTTTTTTCTTTTGTAATGTATCTGCAAAAGTATTATTGTCGTGTTTAATAATTTGCCAAGTAAACTGAGACCATCTATATGTTCCTTAGGGCACAAAAAGGGCGTCTATTAATTTAAATCGATAAAAATAATAGTTATCACTTATACTCCCCTGGTTTAAAGCTTTTTTTAAATTAAACTTTTGCTCCGTCCGTTGACCACTGACATTTCACAGGAACTTTTCAAATTTACAAATTAATTCTTAACCAAATCACAACGCATACAATGCCTCTGGTATTTTTGCAAGTAGTTCAACGTAGTAGTATATATTTAACACAATAAAATCACTTAAAACTAATTTTAATAAATAAATTTAAATAAGAGGTCGAGTTTTGACAACCGACCACCAGTGTTGTCAGCACGAAAAAAAGGCGAGCGGGAGTGTTAGACTCTTATTGGATAAACCCCACTAGTTTCTTTATCTGATCTAGATCGAGGCCTAATGTTTGCTCCGCAAATTATTAGAATCGAAGTCTGTGCTCCCTTTAGCGTACATATAACCTGGGTGTCTGGCCCAGGTGGATACTCGTAGGTTGCTTATAAGTACATAGGTGTGCTCCATAGTAGGTCGCTTTTGCCACCAGGAGAGATAGTAGTCACACTCAATTACGAATACATTATATAAAAATCGTCATCAGTTTAAAGACGTTTAAACTAGGTCATTCCAAGGTTATTTTGTCTCCTGTGTCAAATATTGTACTTAATTGTTGTTATTATTTTAAAATTTTCATTCATTCATGTCTGGTAATATAAAAACACTAGATACAATTTTGGATTCTATGTACCACTTGCTGGAAATGAAGTTAATCGGCTAAATAATAAAACGCAATCTTTACATACAGGTGTCAACCCCAAACCTACTCGGTGACCATGAGAATATGGCAGAATCCGTAGAAGATGATATGACGAACTTTTGGCCAACATCTGCTGGCAAGTTCCATTTCTGCATTGAAGAACTGCCTCAAGAGTTGCAGTATATACATCAGTTATTGCAGGTGGGGCTCGTGCTACGGGTAGGGGGCTACGTCGTAGCAAGTACTACGCCGTAGCTAATTTTGTTGATTTAGTATGTGGTAGTTGTATAAGCAATTTAATTTGAATTTATCAGGAGTTGAAGAGTACCTCTCGTCCGGATGTACTGTACCACCTGCTGCAGTGCTTGCAAGTTCTAGTGCTGAGCACGGATGCGCTGGCAGACCATCGTGGTTTCCTCATTTGGTGCCAGGAGAACCTGCTCATTGATAAGTAAGTTTCTGTGGTTTTAAGTCTTCTGGTATTTGGGTGTCCGGGAAGCGCTGGTCGTTTAACATCGTTCTCTCGTTAGTCGTTCGAAGTTACATCCGTATATTTGGCACATTGGTTGAGGGATTGGCTTCTGGAATGTGTTTATGTCTATTCAATTCTCAGTTTGCCTAGAGTTTGGCTGTAAGAAAATCCATAAAAGTCATTTAGAAAAAAAAACAAGGTCGAAAGAATATGCGCTTGCGTATCGAACAATTTACTAGTTGAAATCGTAACAAAATTCTCTCATTTCTCTAACTCTTAACAGCCCTATCTCTTTCTCAGCCTATGGAACGTATGCAACGCGTCTCACTCGCACATATGTTCCGTGGCGGTGCCAGTACTGCTGCACTGCGTGACGCTGGCCGGCGGGGCCGATGTCTTCTGCAACCTCATCCGCGACCAGTTCCATCACCATGATTACCACGTCCGGTTCACTGCGGTGGAGCGAGTCACTATTATTATTAGGTAGGTGGATTCTATTAGTATTATCATCGTCATCGTCAACAGCTAGAAAACGTCGTCTGTTAAACAAGAAGACTTTTACATTGAATCAAGTGTGGGAGAGCCATGCTTCGGCACGAATGGGTTGGCTTGACCCGATTGATACCACGGCCTCACAGAAAACCAGCGTGAAACAACTACAGTGCTGTGTTTCGCTGTGTGAGCGAGGTTATCGGAGACTCAATCTTTCCCCGTTCCAAATCCCAAAAACTTCAAATCCTTAAAAGATTGTTGCTAGTGTCAATGGGCAACGCTAATTGCTTATTATCTGGTAATGCGACTGATCGTCTGCCGTCCTATTGCATAAAAATCTACCAAGTTGGAGAAAATCGCCTTCCGTTGGTTGCTCATAAGCATTGAACATGATATTTTAAATTTTTCTATGAGATGTTTTTATCGAATCCTTATTTAGCCCTAGAAACCGATACATCATAAAACTAAGTCCATATGTCTGTATAGGTTCATGGACGGGTCCCCAGTAAAGACAAGCCTCCCTCTGCAGACAGCGCTGGCTACAGCATTCTGCTACTTGATCTCCAGCATGGACGACATCAACGTGTACGTGGCACAGCGGGCCACCCTGTATATAGGCACTGTGCACGATAACGCCATCGATGTGAGTACCTTGTGCTCATTATAATTGTTAATTAACCTTATTTTTAATTGGAACAAAACATCTAGAATCATCAGCATGATCACCAGCCTATAAGTGTCTACTGCTGACCAAAAGCCTTCTTTTTACACGGAGAAGATTTTTGAGCATTAGTCACCAGGCTTACTCAAGGCGGATGGCGATTTCAAACTTATTTAGAAATTGAGAGTTCTGGTTTTCGTATGAGGTTAGGCTAGGTATGTTTTCTTTCGCAATTTGCCAAAATAAATAAATAATTAGTGTCAAAGTAAACTTACTACAAAACAAGGTTTTTCTTTAGTCGAAGTAGGAAGTCGGTTAAAAAAGTACTTGTAACTCGGCAAAAGACACATTGATACTTGTCAAGTCTCGAGTGTTTTAGGCGTTCAAAAGGGTTCTTGATGGTTTTTCTTCTTTATTCATTTCCGTTGCCCGTTGTAATTTAGTACACCAATTTACTCTAATCATTATGCAGCCTTTTTCCACCTACCTGGGTAAAGGCCTTTGCACTGACCAGCGAAACTAGTTGTCAGTGCTTGGGTACACATAGGTACTTTAGCTAGATGGACTGCCGTCATCCACAAAATAGTTGCTTTGGGGTTGTCATCAGTCCACCTAGCTGGAAGGCGCCCTTTACAACGTTTGTTTAGGCATAGTGTCCAGAAAACGTTAAGGTCATCGCTCCAAGACACCAAGTCACTTGTCAAGGTTCTTTGATAGATTTTCAACTTTATTGTCCCGTCATAAAGTTCAAAATCTACTTATGAAACTTGATACTTTGTCATTCTGTCACTTGTTCTTTAGTCAATCGTAAGTTTTTTTAACGACTGAAATCTGAATCATAGGTCTCCTTCAAAAGTTTAGTATGAAACATACATAATTATTACAGTAATCCATTAGATTTTTATTCAAACTTCTCGCGTTGTCTCCATCACAACTACAATAAAAAATATGGGGAGATAATTTGCACAAAAAATTACTTGAATAACTAGTACAGGCTGTGTGGATTACTTCAATCGAATACTACTTTGCTTAAACATTTGGGCGCGACATCCATACCTTTAAAAAAGAAAAAGGGAGATACAGATGCCTTCTCCGTCTCCTGCGACAGAGAAGAAAGAAGACCCCTGGTAGTCTCTTTCCTATGTTATCAGTATTCAAACCGGTGACAATGTCGCCACGATGACTATTGATAACGTAGGACAGCGGCTAACCACTCGCAACAGATTGGATAAACACTCCACATAATACAGGGTGAGATTTTTTTACTACCTATTTTATAACCTATGTTTTCTTAAAGATTACTTACTAAATATGTGTAAATAGACAGTACCTGACGATGGATATTGCGCATCGACTTTTCCGCTATTATTATTATACATATATATCTTGTACATAACTTCTAATTCTTAATTTTTTTATGATTCAAGAAGTGATAGCGCCTTATAGTAATTAGCAGTACCCACCTGGCTTATATTGTCCGTTTTCAAAGGTAGATGTGCAATATTTGTCGCCGGGAATTGTATTATAAGAAGCTGAGCAAGATTGGATGACCCTCGCTAAAAATAGATATGTCAAGAAGGAAAAAGAGAAGGCCTTTACTTATAAGGGATCAACATCTCAAGACCATAACCTACTAACAATAATACAATCAAATTTGAAAAGTACAATACAGATGTGGAAATGAGAAATCAAACGCTTAAATAAATAAATTGTCAAAGATTGTCAAAGATCTCCATGCCCCTTCTATCTCCAGTTACTCCTGTACTGCTTGGAGACGCAGTTCGACCTGGTGATAGTCGACCGACCAATGATCCTCCAGTCCATCTACCAGCTCCACAACACGCTCAGCGACAGAAAGATCCTCACTTGGGAGTTCTTCCTCAACAGATTCGAAGCACTCTTCCTTGAGGCACAGATCAATTCTAATAAGACCATCGATTTCTCTAATTTGAGAGGTGAGTTTGATATAATGCGGAAGAATAGATGAGGTTACTGTAATACTGTAAGGTCTTTATAATGTTGACGAATGAGTCGGCTCGACCGGAGTGATACCACGGCCTCACAGAAAACCGGCGTGAAACAACCACAGTTTTGTGTTTCGCGCTGTGAGTGAGGTTACCGTAGGCCCAATCCTCCCCCCCCCCGGGATCCCTCCCCAAACCCCTAAAAGGTCAGCAACGCACTCGTAACTCCTCCGTTGCAGTTGACCGTGGGCGGCGTGATTGCTTACCATCAGGTAATCCGTCTGCTCGTTTGCCAACCTATTACATAAATAAAAAAAAATCTTAAACAGCGAGCTGAAGCAAATTCGATATTAGTCCAATTTGGGCTTTTCTTAACTAGATTGGATACTGTTTTTTATGTAGGAAAAATCCTCAAATTACTTCTCTTACCCAAGGTATTATGAGAGGGAGTGTCAGGATTACTGACTAAAAACCCCTCCGTTCCTTCTGTTGATCCAGGCCGAAGCTTATTTCGCTTAACTAGATTGTCTTAATCCAACTTCCAAATGTCTTATCTTGAAGGAGACTTTTGTCCAGCACATCATCATCAGCCTATAAGTGCTCACTGCTGAGCAAAGGCCTCTTCTCATACGGAGAAGGTTAGAGCATTAATCACCACGCTTGCTCAATGCGGGTTGGCGATTTCAAACTAATAATAAGATATTATAAGTACAGGTTTCCTCACGATGTTTACCTTCACCGTATGTCAGTGGTGTCTAAATAATTATAGAAAGTACATATAACTCGGAAAAAGTCACATTGGTACTTGCCAGGTTTCGAAACCACACCCTCATGCATGAGAAGCAGGCTCCTTGACCTTCGGGCCACGACATGTCCAGCACGCTCGCAGTTTATCAAAGTCGAAAAAGAAAATTCTGTATTTCTCTTAATAGAAATGAAATCTTCATAGATCTTAATGTACATATATATAATTATCTTAATGATCGGATCTCTTTTAAAGAGAGCTTCCAAAGAAAACATGGTAATATGGTAATATTAAAATAAAATACAGTTTGAGTGATGAAATTAAACGGAACAATTACTGGTCACATAATTGTTTAGGAATTTATTTAAATTCTGTTTACCCGTACTAGTTTCAACATTAAAAGACCTTACAGATTTTTCCCTTAGCTATATTGGTCATAATTGAGTAATCAATCGTAATAAAGACAACTCTATTTTAAGAGTTATATGGTAGTATTTCGGATACCACGGTTGAATATTCACTTGCACCAATAGTTTAATGTTCGATGTAATTAATTTAGCCGTGTTTAGTGTTATTTATTTTATTTGTTTTTCCTTTACAGACCTGTATTTCTGTTATTTGGCTCTTTGGTACGTAGTGTGGTTTTTGTGTAACGCTTATTTTTATTACGTAACTGATTGAGGGTGTTTTTACCACGAGTAATTCAACTTGAACAATCAATTCAGACTAAAGAAGGGCTACTCTCATCGTTTTACTTTCTGCCTGATGATGATGTGTTTAAGTATCAGCCTGTAACTGACCTCAAAAGTTTAATTTTAAATATTTAAATAAAAATATATAATTAAAATGGCTCATTAATGGTCTAATACAAAAATCCTCAATTTTTGTTAACAGAGATACACAATAACAGTCTCGTTGTGACTTGAAATTAGTCGAGCTAGTTACTTCAAGCAAATAAGTCTTGCTTTCAATAAAAATCAACAACAAAAACAGGCACTTTTGCAAATGCTGAACATGAATTGTATATCAGTTTATCCGCATTAAAGCTAAATGCTCATTCCAAAATATCCCATTGAGATAGAAAATATATAGAGGCGCCGTGTTACTATAGAAGTATACATGCTTATACAAATATGAGGGAAATATGAAACAAACTATGAAATATTATTTTTTCTCACTCTTTCTAAGGCAATAATTGTATTAGACAAAAGGGACAACAATATTTAAGTTGTTGCTTAATATGGAAACAAATCATTTTGACATTAGCAAAGTTGTAGGTAAGTGCCATGTCCGCCATCTTAAGCGCTCAGAGTACCTGAGTTTCATGGTAGTTGTCCTGTCAAACGGTTGTTTATGTTTTAAATTATTACGGTTTTTCAGTAAATTACAAAGAACCATTTTTTTAAACTTCAAAGATATATAGTGAAACAAAAAAACAATATGCCTGTGTGTTGTATTGTGCAGTGTGGTGCAAAAAAGAACGAAAATCAACCTCAATTGTCTTTGTATAGGTTAGTAAACAGTTTTCATCAAATATTACTTAGAATAATCCACATAGATAGAAAAAAATGTCACGGATACTTTAATCTATTGCCAAAGTATATATATTTACTTTTATTTCTGTCTGTGAGACAGTTTTAGTAAAAAATTGTTGTTTACAATAATATGTCAATATGGCATAGTTACGTACCATTTCACAAAAGTATCGATATAATCTCCCATTTAAAATTCAACATATACTAAATAATCTATTTTAACAATGGATGTTTCCGCAGTTTTGTGTAACGCTAAAGAAGGACGTCAGTATTTTGGTATTGGTTTTAGTTACATAAGTAGAAGTTCAAATTATCATGTTTTATAATTATACGGGCGCGATTGACAGAGCGGCGTTGGCGACGATCCCAGTGCGACCACCAAGCGTAATAATAAAAAGTGAGATACATACAATAAGATTGACTTCACTACATATCTATTTTGTGCTAACGTAGTTTCGAAGATATCATCGTTTAATCAGACGCGCCGAAATTGTGCGCGAGCACTTCACAAATACCCACAGGTTTTCCACATATATAAAGATAAACATTTAACAAACACTATCTTTTTCTATTTCACCATTCCATTAAACGCTGTTCATAAACACAGTCCTATTTTTTTAAAAAACGCTTTAGCTACGTTGAATTATATGAATACAAATTCGACTTGAGAAAATCATTAGCCAATCAAGAGACCAAGTTAACCCCGGGTTCCGGGCTCTAGCTAGGCCGACGGCAAAGTAGGAACAGGAGTTGATTTTAGTCAGTAACGGTCTGTCCCGAAAAAGGCCGGAGATGACATTAGATGATTTCCCATAAAAAAATACCGTTAATCAGCTAGCTAATCCCTAAAACTATACCTACGTAGAACTTTTACTCAAATTGTATCGATACTCGTTTAATACTTAGTCGGCACAACCCTAGCAACGGCAGCCATCTTATGCGACATTTTGGATTGTAGGTAGGCACCTTATTTTCGTAGGTATTTCAAGTCCATATATTTCCTATGTCAATGAAAATATCCCATTGAAACACAAAGGTTAAAAGCACCCTCGCTTAATTTAAAATTTGCTTGCGCTGTTACCTATCTATTCCATACAAGTTCACCGCTAGCATTTACCGCCACAATTTTGTCCGACAGAACTAGTCAGCAGTGAGACGAGTTCGGAATGGTTTCTGTATAAAGTGCGACGCGCCCACGAGGCGCTTAGCGTGTCCGCCAGAGACACCAACGTCAACACTCTCAGTGCATCCTTCGGTACCAAGTGGCCATACAAGAGGACAATTTCTGCACCTGCCACCATGCCTCCTCATCCTGATACTAGACATGGTAAGAGAAATAAGAGTGCTGTATGTTATTTTCGGGTCAAATTACTGATCGATTCTAATTGGCTTTGGCAGCGCCATCTACATTTTTATCCTTGAAAATGTGTTATGGAAGTGGATTGTATGTACTATGTTAGTTTATGAATTTGTTGCTTTATATGTTTGGCACCCAACTGGCTGAACAAGCTGTAGTTCAATGACTCAGTTAGCCTGTCAGCCTGTTTATTTGCGATGAGGATTCGATTTCTTTGCGGTTCACAGTTATAACCTAATCTAATCTTCCATTCCTTCAATTTACAGACGATAGAGAAATTTATTCTTTCAATGAAACGACTGAGAGCTACTCCGGTGGTTGACATATGCATAGCAGAACTCTCCCGTTCCCAAAATAAAAATAAGAGTGGTCACAAATTCCCATTTTATTGCTAAATGTCGATATGATACACTTGTATTAAATAAATCGTTGTTTTATTCAGAACGCGAGAAAGTATACTCGCGGCAGTACTCGGCGCCCCTGCTGAAGCGGAAGACGTCCCGCTTCGGGCTGGGGCAGCTACTGGCCGCGCCACAACCTCTCGGCACTGCGCAGCGCTCCAATAACACTCATGGTGACTACTTATTATTTTGTTTTTTTTTTGCTTGATCTTTGTCACCAATACTAACTCGTCATTAACTAAACAATTTTTTAATGCGATAAGCCGGCGAACGAGCAGACGGATTACCTGATGGTAAGCAATCAGCGCCGCCCATGGACACCCGCAACAAATAAGGAATGCTGAGTGCATTGTCGACTAGGGATTTTAGGATTGGGTAGGAATTGGGGGAGGGGAAAGAATTGGGCCTCCAGTAACCTTACACGGCGAAACACGACGCTGTGGATGGTTCACGCCGGTTTTCTTCCAATGTCCACTGTTTTTGACTTTGACGCAAGGAAAAGGATATGAAAAGTGTTGTTCTTCTTATACTCGCTTACTTCTTATACTTATTATATATTTAGCAACAAAACCCGCCTGATGGTAAGAGGACATCTTACAACTTCAATACCATTTGCTTTGCTTCGCAGACCATGATCCTTGCAAGATATTTTCTAAAAAGTATGTATTTGTGTGTCCAGATGGCTTCCACTCGATGTCGGGTCGGTCTGAAGACACGCTGACCACGATCCTGCCCAAAGCGGTGGATCTCGAAGAGGCTGATCGAGAGACCACTAATTTGTTGGTGTTCCTACTCATGCAGTTCTTGTCCAGGTAACTTTAGTACGAATATTGTCGTTTTGCTAAAAAGATGGTTCATCCTACTCAATGGAATTTCGACTTTTATGATAAAACAATAAAGTACAAAATTCAAAATGTTAGTAATGGAAAATTTGTATATAGAAATTTGTTATTTTAATGTTGATCAAAAACCTAGCTATTACCACAATTACACAGAACAATATAAAAGTAATATTGAATTTGCTTTAGATCCGACCAGGCACATCCCTTTGAAGACAAGCAGTCATCGAAGACGCAGGAACTGGTACTCAAGCATTTGTTCCTGTTGCTTGGCTACAACTGCGTCGAGAAATACTTTCATATATCGCCGTTTACATTGAGGTAAGTTGAATATTAACTCTTGGTAATGTTTAAAATGTACTTTTTTATTGTATTGGTCGAAAAACGAGCAGACGGATTACCAAATAGTATTCAACTGCGTAAGCCAAATCCAAACCAATCAACACACAACGGACAACCGCAACATCAAAGGCGTTACGAGTGCCTTCCGGGCCTTTTAGGGATAAGAATTGCGAATAATTAAGAATTTGGCAGGGATGGGGGAGGGGGAGGGATTGGGCCTCCGATAACCTCACTCATATGGCGAAACAAAACGCTGTGTTTGTTTTACGCTGGTTCTCTCTGAGGCCGTGGTATCACTCCGGTCGAGCCAAAGCTTGAATCTACGAATCACTAACTTAAGTTTTTGACGAGGTAACCGGTCATATTTCAAGCCACAGTGGGGGCTTATATTTTACTCCCTATTGCTAGTCTACTTACTTCTGACACTAGAGTAAATCGTAAAAAACAATACAAAAATAAGATTTTCAGGTCAAAAAGTACACGTACTCGTATGGTCATATAAGTGAAGTGTGGGAGAGCCAAGATTTGGCGCGAATGGGTCGGCTTCAGCGACCGGAGTGATACCACAGCCCCAACCTCAGCGTTGTGTCACGCCGTATCAGTGAGGTTACTAGAGACCCAATCTCTCCCCCTCCCCCATGCGTTTCCAATCCTTAAATATCCAAAATCCTTATCTCCCTAAAAGAGCGGCAACGGACTCCTATCTCCTTTGGTGTTGCGGGTGTCGATTGCTTAGCATCAGGTAATCCGTCTGTTCGTTGGTCGACCTATACCACAAAAAAAAAATATATATTCAGTCTTCAGAGTTGCCATATTGCTAGAAACAAGTTGTGGTCGTAATTGTGAATATGTTTCTCCTTCTTAGACAATCATCAATTTTCAACGCGTTCATGGCGAACTTACCGCAAGTGTTGGACCAGAACCACGTGATGGGTGCTAGCATCGCTGAGCCCACCTTACTTTTACTGCAGGTCTGTATTTGTTCTCTACTTGGTCATACTAGGGATGGTAATACTTATTTAGATAATTTTATTCCCCTTTTTGAAATGTTTCCAAAAACAATGTTTTGTGAATATTGATGTCAAAAAGTTTTTAGTCAGTCACATTTGTTCAAATATGGATGATGCCTCTAAGGCTCACGCTTGTGAATCTAGTATTATATCACTACATACATAGAATAAAACAAAGTCGCTTTCTCTGTCTCTATATCCCAATGTATGTATTTTTAAATCTTTAAAACTACCCAACGGATTTTGATGCGGTTGATGCCGTTTTTTCAATAGATAGTGATTGAAGAGGAAGGTTTATATGTATAATAACATACTTAAAATATTTGAGAAATTTAGTGTCAGTATTGCTCCCGTGTGAAGCCGGGGCGGATCGCTAGTGTTATATGTATATTCACACATTAACTTCCGCGTAACCGGAACCGCTTCACTTGCGTATAACCGGACATTTTGCGTCATTTTAAAATGACCTGGTAGGACTATTTGACTTATGTTGAAATATATTGATGTATGTGCTATGCCCCCCCATGCGTATGCACGCGGGGCGCAGTACTGCTGCGGGGGCGGGGGCGGGGGCGGCGCGGGGCCGGGCAGCCCGCAGTCGCTGGGGGCGCTGCAGCCCCATGTACGCAGGCACTGGCTCATGGCGCTGCTCGTCGTGCTCTACAAGGTACGAACCTGATACATTTCATTATTATTTTTTAGCTCGTATTTGTATGATGTTATTAAGTACCCAACTTTGAACATTTTGTCATAGTTAACTTAATTATTTTATGAAGTTTCTTCAATAATCAATATCAAAATAGTTTACTAATTAGAAATAAATAATTTTACTTTTTAGTTATTACAGAATTTGCTATTGGGAGACTCCGAATTTCTTATTTATGCAAAATTAATCGTCTGACTTTTTTGTATGATTCCAAATATACATTAACTAGATATTCACAATATGCAGAAATAAAAAGAAGAAGAATATATGTGTACTAACGCCTTTTGCCATAACATATAATATTCTGTTACCAAATTAATGAATTATGACCTGTAATTAGTTCCCGTCTGTAAAAGTAGTGTAATACCTTAGTACCACTACGGGTCGGGCAGCACGGTGGGGCTGGTGTCCGCGCTGGTCCGCGTGGTGCTGAGCTCGGTGGAGGCGCAGTACCACGCCTGCAAGCGGATCCCCCCCATGCTCGTCATGCCCAGCGCCACCAGGGCCAGGGGTAATAAATACTTTATACACACTCAAGCTGAATATTTCTCAACATGGCATTTCATCTACAAGACATTAATTTAGGGCATGAAGATCTCTCTCAAGATAAGTCACTTGGAAGTTGGATTAAGATTAGTAAGAGTAGGTGTTGATTGGCTAGCGTTAGAAAAAAAACAAGTTTGGTTGAGTTCTTTTCTGACTTATTATATCTAAGTTGGCTAACAAAAGATCGGCTTCAGTTCGATTCGTCAGATTGTAAACAAAAACAAAATTAACATAGATATGTTCCAGAGAGGAAGGTGCTTTGTATTTACCAATCATGATAATTATAGACACAGTAGAAGAAAAATAGGCGCGCAAACGCGCTTGATGACGCGTTTTGATGAATTACTATTAAATTTGCTTGTAAGGACTTAAATTGTATTGATTGTAATGAACATTGACATGACATTGTAATGAATCAATTGAATAATTGTATCCTCAAATAAGTTTAAAAACTGTTACCCACAGATTTAAGCCAACCATCTCTAAAGACGGAGCACGAGACGGCGGGCGCGGGCCCGGCGGCGCCCCCCGCGGGTGGCGGGGGCGGGGGCGGCGGCGGGGGCGGGGCCGCGGAGCGGGCGGGGGGCAGCCCGCTGCCCGCGCTGGACCGCGGCAAGCCCAAGCTGCATCACAAGTCCCCCGCACACATGCACACGCACTGGGAGGAACCTACTAACTCTAACAAGTAAGTGCTTAGCTATATGTATACTACTATACTATACTATGTTTTGTACTTAGGTGAAAAATTTGTTATGTGGCTTTTGTCACATATTTGTAATCTTAAATAACAATATTTTAGAATATCTAAGAAATGGATTACGAGGTATAATAAAATATATTTTTTTTCTTTTTCGTATTGAAGTTTTTCGCTGTTAAGTTCTCGTATTTTAAATACGAGGTGTTGTATTATGTATGAAAATCCCATAAGATATACTCAACTTGACATTGACTATTACATTTCTGATGAACTATATATCTGACAATAAATGGAAATAGTGGTAGAGCCATGCTGTACTCGAGTACATGTACTTAGAGTACAGCGCGTAGGAGGGCAGGCTCGACCGGGGAAGTACCACGCTCTTCACATATTACCACTAAAGGGGCTACCGTTATTCCATTCACTCTTAGCAACGTTAAGCTCTAGAGTCAGTATAAACAGGCTCATAGGACTTAACTCGCCAGTGGCGCCATCTACAGAGTGCAAAAACGGTTCCCATCGAAAATCATGTGGTGTGATGAGTTCCGAGTGCCCAACCTCCTCAAATCTTACTTTGAACTTGATTTGCGGAGGATATTTTTTATGGGTTCCTTATAAAGGAGACCCAAAATTGCGATAGAAACTAATAGCACCATACCTTTTCTCTGTATAGAGAAACATAGAGAGAGAGAAAGAAAGACTTTGTTACTTGCTAACAACGATCTCTTTCAGCTTTTAGAGATAATTTTTCAGGTCTATTTGAACTGTTTTCGAGATGAAGTGAAGCGTTTTTGAAGACCGAAGCCGCCATTAAGGTTTTATCTTTGTATATTGTCTGGCTATTGCAGCTACTTTTGCATACGTGCGTATATAAATTGTATATGATTCCAAAGGCAGCGAATAGAGCAAAGGTAGTTTTGTTCAATGGAAATATTTAATGTGTAAACTATTTTATTGTCAAGGACTTTGTAAGTTCAAACATTACTATTACATATCACTTAACAGTTTTTATGAACATTTGTTCCACGTAGGAAATTAATTCTTGTAACCTCACACTGTTTTCAGACTGGGCAAAGAATTAATTAAGTCAAAGTCAAAGTATTTATTGTGTAATGTATTGTTTGTGTATAATTAAAATACAAAATTTATATAAATATTTCATTATTATGGCATTATCCTTAAAATAATGAGTGATCATTACGTGAACGGAATCAAAATGATGGCAATGATTTGGCGAATAATTATTATATAGTCGCAACTAATGATTAAATAACTGGATAACAATGAAAAAGAAACTTTATGGTTACTCTTTTAAATCTCTTTTAAAGTCTTCTGATCGTTTATGATCACAGTAGCCATCATGATTAGCTAACGGCGCAAGAGAAAAGTCGATGACCGTTTGAAACTGGCAGTGATAAGATCATCATCATCATCAGCCTATAAGTGCCCACTGCTTGGTGAAGGCATTTTCTCACTCGGAGAAATTTTGATCATTGATCACCACGCTTGCTCAAGGCGGTTTGGCGGTTTCAAACTTATAATTATAAATTATAAGTCCAGGTCACGATGTTTTCTCTTGGTTTTCCCGCCATAAGTCATAGGTATCTAAATACTGCCAGGTTTGGAACCCTCATGCATGAGAAGTCTTAACATCTGGGCCACCACGACGACAGTGGGAGGATACGAACTGAAAAAATGCGGAAAATAAACTCAACTGCGTGCTACTGAAAACTCAACTGCGTGCTACTGAAGAGGTCTTTATGTATCAGTACCTAATTGGCTGATGAAGATTAAACCATCGGAATCATCTTGTCAAGTTTAGCTTGTTTAAGTATTTTAAACAAGCTGAACGTAACATAAGGCGTTTTTTTATTCTTAAAAAACGTTTCCCTACACAAGGATTTTCTCCTGTGTTGTGGGTGCATTTACAAACATAAAATCTCACATGCACATCACACCCAGACCCGAAGCAACAATCTGGGAATCACGTTGCGCGGTAACCAGTAACTCAGCTGGGCCAACCGTGCAGTGAAAAAAAAAATGTCATATGATGGTGGGTAACCGTTAGACTAATTCTATGCTCAATGAAGATTAAGGCTTATGATGTTTATAAGTTTTTGTTGACGAGAACGACGACGCGGTTTGCTCCTTCAATGCAGGACAACGGGTTTGTCCATCATGAGCATATGGCAAGACCGCCATGCGTGATACATCATTCACAAAACGCGGTGCGTTTGCGTAAATGACGCCTTTATCATTAATTTGTACTTACAAATCAAAAATTTCTGGGGATGGCCAGAACTAGACCTTAGCGTTCGGGCGGAGCATTCCACGCGCGCCTTAGAGCCAATAGACCAAGGTTACAGGGTAAGCGCAATAAGATACCGCTGCCTCTGTTTAGAGCAGGAGAAGGAATCTTAAGTCAGTAAGAGTCTCACACACGCTCTTGCCCTACCCAGGAGGATTGAAGTCTCAGATGACTTCAATCCTCCTCCTAATGATTTCTGATTCCCCCAAAAAATGCTACATTGAAAAATTACAATTGATTGCCAGAAGGAGTTTGAGACTGTTTAAAAGCAAATTGACATAAGTGATTACGAAACCTTAACTCGGAATGTTGGATTTCATTGTATTTGAATGTACTACTACTGCTCTGTGTAGTGGAACCAGTATTCTAAAAAATCTGGTAACATTTTTTATGGCATAGGTCGGCAAATGACCAGACGAATTACCTGATGTTAGTCATCGGTGCCAAGTGGCTTCAACAAGTGCGTTACCGGCTTCTTGTGTATTATTAAGGATTTAAGGATAAGGGATTTGAGAATTGAGGAAGGGGAGGGGGGGAAGCTATGGATAGCGAGTAAATAAATATTTTTTTATAATAATTATTATTCTTGTTGAGTATTCTGAGTTTGGGAGAAGACTGGACAGCACGGCCTTTCAGAATACTGATGTGGAGCAATGTGTTTTCTTTCGCCGTGTGGGTGAGGTTATCGGAGGCCCTTCCCCCTCCTCATAGGTACCCGTTATCTAAATCCACAGTTCTCAAACTCCTTAGAAAACTCGAAAAAGCCGGCGATGCAAATGATTTTTGGATGTCCATGGGCGGTGGCCGATGACGATTGCTATCAGGTGTTCATTTGTTCAGAGTTTGCCGACCTGCCTCACAAATATATATTAGACCGGTTGTAATTAACCCTTCTGACTATCCAAAAGGCGAGAGAGAGTATCAGACTCTTACTGACAAAAACCCCCCTGTTTCTTCTCCTTCTCTGGGCCGAGGCAACCCTGGCAGAACATCAGCCCTATAGGGCCACGTCTTTGGTGGGCTATTAGCTCTTTGAGCCTATTTGGTTGATCAAAATGCGATGTAATATTCGGGACGAGTACGGTTGCGTTTCCGCTGCTACGTCTGAATATTATAATCGCGAATTGCATTGAATTCAAAGCCCATAGACAATGAAGTTCTGGCATTTATCTAACATGCCTTTGACTAGTCGAGGTCAGCATCTTGCAGATCTGCTACACATCTTCCAAGGCGGATGAGCTTTGCAGTGCCAAGTTGCTGCTGTTCTCGACTCTTGGCAAACTAAGCCAGATGCCGTCTCGTTGAAGGGACAGCACAGAAAACAGCCTCCAAGACACGACGTGCCTGAATTCGTGGCGAGGATCTGCACAAGCTGCCTCCCTTCACTTTCGACCACGTACATATCAGGCTAGGCTGCTGAAGGATATAACGGTCCTGAAGCAAAACCAGGTTAAGATGCTGCATTAGATGAAAGTGTCACCATCAGTGATTTACAGACAGAAGTAGTATGATTGCGCAATGTAATTTCTGTAAGTAGATCACCCAGCAACGCAAATGTGAACACGCGTCGTGGGCAAAGACTTTTCAATCTACAGTTTCAAGTCGGTAGGCTTGAATGCATGATCAGCTGCTGAAACTGCGCCTGTCTCAACGTGTTCCGCGGCCGCCCCTGCCTCGACACTTGTGGAGACACGTGTTTAGATTTGACGATCCCTAAACGAGCCTACTTAGCAATAGTAGCCGCCGCTAAAAGGCCTTTTGAGCCACAAAACTAGCAGGTTCAACTAGCGGACAAAGTAAAAGAGGGTAAATGGAGCCTGTTGAAAACCAAAACAGGTTCTAGAAAAGCAGTTTCCAGTGAAGGACACGGGTGACAGCGATGGTTTAAGGTGGAGAAGAGGAAGCCACCTTGTTGGACCAGTGCGGTACTGCATTGGCAGGATCTAACATGTTTCTGCGTTCAGCCGTACCGGCGACTGTACGTGTCCACACTGCATTACTCCACAAAGGTTCGGGGAAGGAGGTCGTGGAGTACTTGCACGTGAAGACCAAATGGATACTGAGGGTCGAGCTGTTAGAGCCGCGTCACAAAATGTTCAATGTTTTAAATTTCAAGTCGTTCGTGGTGCAAGTTCCGACACATCCCCTCGAGAAGTTCCTCAAAAATGAGTTGTGGCCGATGTTGTGTATCGTCGGTTTCGTGGCCAGCTACGTGACACCAGTCAAAAAAAAAAACGACGCCACTTTCGGTACATTAAAAAAATGAATTTGTTAATTATGTTATATATAATTATAGTATGTTCTAATTTGTATTGTAGCTAGGTATATTATATTTATGTTTTATTTATAGTATTGTATATATTTATTCTTGAAATTAATCTATTATTATTACATTTCTTTTTTTAATTTATTATCGCCTTGATGTTTGAAATAAATGGAAATAAAATAGAATATTATTGTGTTAAAACTTGAGTTAGCAGTATTCTTAATTTTAAATTACTTAAAACAGATTGATTTTTTTTATATTTGCAAATGTGTTTATCACATTTTGTTTTGAAGAGAAAATATACTGGTACTGATACAAAGGATAATAAATGATCCAAACTGTTCTCATACCTGTTTTGAGTACAAAAAAACTATAGTTAGAAGATCAACATATTATACCTTCAACGTAGACACTGACAATGCGCCTCTTGTACCAATTCCAAGGCTACCGAATGCTATGTTTGGAGTCGTACCGAAGGATCGAACAGCTATTCAAACAGCTCGTCGTGAATACGGTACACAGTGAAAAGTAGGTACCGGGGCGGGGTCCAAAGATGTGCACAGTATTCCAAGTGGGGTCGAACTTGCGTCTTGTAAAGTAGCAGGCGATACTAGCTTCTTCGAGGCTAATTGGCCTTACCCTCTATATGACCGCGGAACTGGACTTCGCTCGCTATGTCGACACCAAGTATACCAATGTCGGCTCAGGCTGTTAGAGGGGTGCTCTGAAATTGAAAACTACGACCAACGGCAGACCTGTGTCTTTGTGGGGTTAAATTCGGCAAAATTAAGTCTACCCCAATCTGAGATTCTCTCAAAAGAGGTCTCGATTTCAGACACAAGTCTGTTTTGACTCTCAATGACGTACACGGACGGTGTTTAAAGCATCACCCGATGCTCTCATATGGATAATAATGAGTGCCACTGTTTTGCAACATTCATTGATATGGAGGAGGAACAGGGTGGGCTACAGCACGCAGCCTAGCATTCAGAGCATTCATCGTCGACCGCGACCTTTATGCTTCTGTCTGCAAGGAAGCTGCATAGTTCCTCCGAAAGTCCATACGAAGGTAGATTCGAAAGAAGCGATCCATGGCAAACCGGCACTACGTCCGCACTGACCGCCATCGCTGGCCCTGAACTACGTATTTGTAACTGTTGGTGGTTGAGCCAAAGGTTTTAAACCATGATGTTCTTTTTTAGCACACTGTCCTTTTCCCAATAAGATTTTTGGGATTAGCACAGAGTCTTACACATCGCTTCATGATCTATAAGTGCTTACTACTGACAAAAGGCCTCTCCTTACACAGAGGTTTGAGAATTAATCACAACGTATGCTCAATTGGCTGATTGAAGTCACCAAATCTAACCAGATTAAAATTGACAGTATTTTATCTGGAGCTGCTGCTACGTTGTGGTGGCCAAAGGACGCATCCAGTTCTCAGATTAAAAAGACGAACCATGGAGTTTCTTGCTCGTTATTCTCCATAGTAATCTGCACAATGGAATTTACAACTAACTTCACTAGATGACAGACCAGACAGACAGACAGAATGACGTTCAAAAGGCACATTTGAACGTCAAACATTTTCCCGGTTTCGCCCGCTGTTCGGCTTTATTTGATCGTAGCATGATCTATCAGTGAAAGAATTTTGCCAACCCGACGATTACGGTTCCTAAGATTACCCCTACATACAAACTTAGAAACTTACAAAACCTCTTTATAATATTAATATAGATATGCTTATCATCAACGTCTTTATAAGTAGTAGGTACTGCCCAAACTTCATATACAATTTGTATACAACACAAGCATGACATTAATGTTGCTTTAGTCGTGACCATAATTGTTTATTGATAAGGCTAAATTGGTGTGATTGCTCTTTGCAATTATCAATAGCATGTCGATGAGGAATGGAATATTTTTAATTGATATTTTTATTTCATTGCCCCACATTAGGATTTTCTCCTGAGTCGTGGGTGCCTTCATTACATAATATATTTAAGAATTGCGTTTTTTTTTGTCTTTTATTTTGGATGCGTCCGAATTGATATTCGGATCGTGTATGGAACAGCTGTGTCACAAGCTGAGCTTCTGCTTTGAATTTTGTTTGTTAATGTGGTTGAATTAATAAGATATTTGATGAAGTTGTGCATTACGTGTTAAAGAAAAAGATAAAATACGTTTCCTCTTTCAAGACTTATCAAATATCCTATTGATTGTGTTTTGGCGTAATGTTTTGATTAATACTTATCAGTTTTCCCTAGGCTTCGGAGACGACATGGCGGCTTCATTAGGATCTTTATCTACGCAGATATTTTTTGATACTGTTTGTATGAATTATAATGATGGTTTTCTAATTACGTAATTTTACAGTAAAATAAGTTGTTTATAGTCACTGTGTTTAAACTTTAAACATACCCATCCTCTTTTTAAGTCTTTATCGCTCTTGACTAATGTTAAATTATTTTCGTCGGTTGTGCAGTTTCAAAAAGGTTTACTTACAGGATTTTGTTGTATTTTTTAATTAACTTTTTTGACTGCGGGTTATCAAAGCGCATCTGTACAGCGTACAGTTTTACTACCAAGTTATTAACAGTGTATGTACCGGATATCGTTACGTGGTTTTTCTTCTTAATATTTTTAAACGAAAGCTAATTTACCTTTGTTTTATTATTATAAACACGGCTTTTTTACAGTGGTAAATTAAATTATGTTAGCTTTACAGGTCTTTTTAAGCACCACCGACGGTCCCTGACGCCTTTGGGGGCAGGGAGGATGGTTTGTCAGGTTACAGAAAGCCTGATCTTCCTGTAACTTAACTGTCGGCGAATCACAGCTGCAGCAGTTGTTTCAACGACCAGTACCAGACCCATGGTAATGTCGCATCGCGTTCCGCACGCGGCTAACGAGACATCAAACCACGACACATGGCGTCTACTAGGGCCTATGTCCATGTGCGGTTATGGGTGTAAGGTCAATAATGTACCGCGGCCCCTATACGTAGTAGGAGAAGGAACGGCGTGAGTTTTAGTCAGTAAGAGTCTAAAACTCCCTCTAACTCCATCCAGGGCGGGAAGAGTCATTTGATTTCTTCCCCCCTCAGAATAACTCCTAGCTTCACCGGTCTTTTGGCCGATTTTCGATGAGGCTGTGGAACCGCTTCGGTTTAGCCGACTTATTCGTGCTAGAGGATCGCTGTTCTGCGGTCTTTCCGGAGTCTGATATTGCCTGTGAACAGATCCTCAGCACAATTTTTTTCACGTTAGGTACACTAGGATTTTCTCCTGTGTCGTGGGTGCATTAACAAACATACTAATTCACATACACAACACACCCAGACCCGAAAAAACAATTTGTGGATCACACTAAGTGTTGTTCCGTGCGGGAATCGAACCAGCGACACGTTGCACAGCAGCCAGTTGCCCAGCCACTGCGCCAACCGTGCAGTCGGATGACAATAAAGATTAAATGACAAAATTGTCAATAACGGTCCATTTTTGGAAGAAGCCTTTTTGTTTCCGAAGAACATCTATGTATGTATTCTATGGGTTTCATTCATCATATGGGTTTCTTCCAAGAGTAGGACTATCCTGGTGCTATTAGTTTCCATAGGTAGCGAAAGCTACACAACCTACAAATCTAACTTTTATTAAATGAATGTGCTGCTATATCGTCAGTTTTTTTTTGAACGTATTTTTTTAAATTACTGCTTCGCTGATGATAGTGGTTCTATTCTAAATTACTAAACATTTTTTTATTAATGTAGTTACCTGAATATTTTTTATGTTAATGATTTAATTTCATCAACCTGTTGTTATATACAATTTGTATATACTTCAAATTTGTACGTACTATCCTCAAATCCCCTATCCGTAAATCCCTAACAACCGACAAGAGGCCGGCAACGCACTTGTAGTAACTCCTTTGGCATTACGAGTGTCCATGGGCGGCGCCGATTACTTAACGTCAGGTAATCAGTCTGCTCGATGGCCGACCTATTACTTAAAAAAGTCCTTCAAGATTTTACAAGTATGAGTGCTTTAAAGGGATCCTGTACAACGTTCATATGGAAGTTGGCTGATAACATCTTTTTGAAAAAAGAAGCCCGGAGACTAAATTGGCGTTAAAAAAATAAATGAAGAGACAAATGTAGAAGATGGGGATGTGTATGAAAAAATAAATGAAGAGACTTTCAAGTTAAGAAGATGGCTGTGTTTGGGACCTACATTGAACAGGTAATTTTCATTTCTCATTTCAGAATATTTTAATTAATAAGAATAATAAACTTTATTTTTATGGTGTAGGTTTTCTGCTCAACTGGTCCCTGAAGCAACTGAATCATCTCTTCAACAGTTTATGGCATAGGTGAGTAAAGTTGCGGGTGTAAGCGTAACATTGTACTGTAGCCCAGCTCGCAATGGGAAAATACGGTATTTATTTAGTCAGGAATACTCGGGCCACATAAACGGGAATTTCCATTACTTATCGCGATAACGGACGTTAATCGTAGGTGTAATTTAATCACTAATCAAATGAGTTAAGGTATAATTTTCATTGTTTGAAATCATCAGTTTTAAAAGTTTGACACTGCCTCTTGTCCCTCAAGGGCAGGAGAAGTCATTTAATGATTTTCCCCCTTCAAAAAAGTAAGTAAGTACACAAGGAGGTAAGGATTTCAGCTTGATCGTGATCAGTAAGTGTCCAGCAGCAACTGCTTCAACTTCAAAGGTAATTTTCGTAAAGGTATTTTGGTAAATATGGTCATATTTTTAGTTATATGTAGTATAAGGAAGTTTGGAGAGGTCTATATTTATCAATGGACAAAAACGGGATCAAAATGTTACTAATAACAGTCTTTCAATTAAAATTATTCTTAACTTTATTAAAAAAATATATATTATATTTTACCTGAATTAATTGAAAAAAGCTCTTTTAATTTCAAATCACACGGGACGAAACTGGATTCACGAGCAGCATGCGCGTTGCGTCGTGGCAACGTCGCGCAACCAACTGAGTCGGCACGACGACGATGATTGTCCTGTTGCGACTTGAAACTAGTAGAGCTATGTACTTATACTTTCAATTAATTTAGTATGTCTCACGATATTCCTTGTAATTGTTGGCAGACGTCCATTGTTAAACAAAAGCCATCTCCGCTAGTCCGGACTGGGTTATTTAGATATACAAGTTTTCCTTGACTTTAAATCCATCTATAATAAAAAAGTTGTGCTTCACAGGTGATGGCTATGGAGACAGACAGCGAAAATAAACATAAAATAAATAAAATTGTACTACAACTACATAAAAGACTTTTATTTCGTTTGAATTAATAAATACTTACAAACTGATCATGGGTTTTATTTCTCCTACTATTTAGCCACAGGAAAAGCCTTTTACCATTATCTTTTAACCTTTTTTCTCTTCTGGTAATACCAGTGTGATCCTTAGGGTGAAGTCGGTTGATGGCAACATCCTTCTGTGTTATTTAAATATCTGGTTCTTTGGTAATAAGTGGAGTAAGGCCTGCGTTTTGACGTATTAAACCTATCATTGCTCAAAAAGGGATGGAGCTATACCGGTGTAGCTCCATCCTTATCGTTGGTGCTATGATAGACTCAATACCTCATCATGCAGTCTTAGTGCGTTCCTAATTCTGTTTATTTGCTAAAAGTTTAGTGGAATATCAATTGTATGTCGATGGGAGGACGGACATTTGGTTGTTCCTTGTTAACAGAACAATTAAATGTTCAAAGGACATCAAATTATGAGTTTGGAGATCAGCTGCCCTTACATTGGAGGAAATGTGAGGTTTTCTGGCCCACATAGTTTGTTGCCCATGTTCCTCCTACCTACACACAATTAATACCATTAAATTGTTTAGGTAATAGGCAGAGTTAGGTTAAGGTATTGAGGTAAGTTTTGTTTTAGGTACCAGCAGTGGAGTCTGGAACAGGAGTCGTCGGAGAGCGAGCTGATAGCGATCCCTGAGACCAGTGACAAGTCGGATACTACTGTCCACGGCAGTACGGCACCGGTACGTAACGTGTGCCATTTGTATCTTTTTTATGGGTTAACCATCAGCAACCGAGCAGACGGATTACCTGATGGTAAGCAACCGGCATAGCCCATGAACACTCGTATCACCAAAGAAGGTAGTACAAGTTCTTTACCGGATTCTCGAGGGTTGTTAGGGATTTAAAGATAGCAGATAAGAGGATACAGGTTGGGGGAAGGGTTAGGCCCTCAACCTCACTCACTCGGCGAAACTAAACGTAAGTTTCTTAGTTGTCACTTGTAAACTTAGCTAGGATTTTAATATCAGGCCCATATCGACAGGGAGGTTTTGACCAAGAAAAAATTGAACCGAGTGATTTTTTTTTTCTTCGTCATCATTGCTCTTTTTATAGGGTGGCCGTGGTCGTTACACAGCATCTGATGTTGTATACTATAATCTGTTCCCTTTCTAATCTGTTCCAATATTCCAGGGTTCGTTCGACGAGCCATCACACTACGAGGACCCACCAAAGGTAGAAACGCCCGCCACTACAACCGCTTACCCGCCGCTCAGTAAAATCGTAAGAATTAGAATATTTTACTTTGTTTTGCATGCGTTTTTGTTATTTATTAGGTTAGTTAGAAATCTATAAAGTGGCTCAAAGCTTTGCATAGAAATCATGAGGTAGCGAAGATTAGTATGTATGGAGGATTTCAAAATAGTATCGTTAGTTCAAGTAGTTTTAGTTCGCAAATAATTTGATATCTGAGACAAATTTTTAGCTCGACCTTAAAAACTATATAATATCTCTCTCAGAACCTAAATAAGACAATCTTTTTTTGTCTCACTGTCGAATATGATTGTTGTTATATTATATTATTTTCTATTTTGAGACGATATCACTTTTGCATTCACGTAGCCGACCCTTGGATCTCGTTCGGCGCACCAGCTGTCTACCAGCTCATCAGTCTCCATCGGCAGCGACTCCTCGAACCTGTAAGTGTGTACCATGTCTTCCTGGGTCGCTGATGCTTGAACTTGTGTACTTACTTGAAAAGACTACAAGTCGTACATACCTTCAAGCATTTGTTACCACAGCATTACTGCCACAGAAATTGTATTGAAGTAATCAGGGCTACCGATATTTTCTGACTAGATGGCGCTTATGTTAATATTTGCTTGTCCATGGCACACATAGTACGTGAGAGTCCACCGCTGGACTGAGGCTCTCTTCTACAAAAGAGATGCCATATTTTGATCTCTTGGGTAGCGGGTTGTAAGTAGTAGTTTATCAGAAAACACAGATATTCTCAAATGGTTTCTCTCGCCCAGGTTAATGCGAGGGGGAGTGTCAGACTCTTACTGACTAAAAACCTCCCCGTGCCTTCTCCTGCTCTGGGCCGAGGCCGTGGTGGCTTATTGCGCGTGCCCCGCAACCCCGATTTCTGGCGAATTTTATTATTATTTATTATCCGATATCTGGAATGTATAATTTTTTGGTTTGGTCTCACGGTACCCGTCTGAGGAGTTGGAGAGCTAGCCAGATAATAGAGAAATAGCCAGTGTCAATGCATTGTGTATTTAACTTTTGTCAGCTGGTAAACAAAATATCGGTAGCCTTAATTACCCTGATTTATCATCATGAGAAGTATTTTTTTCGGTTTGTTTTCAATATAGAAAATCAACGCCTATGAGCGGTCAGTCAGTCGAGATCTGGCCCGATCAGATACATCAGCAGACATCGCCACGAGCCAAAATATTGGGCAAACAAAAGAGGATTATTGGTATGTTTTTTTTTTACCTTAAAATAGTTTATTATCATCCAGAAATAATACATACATAATACACATTATACTTGAGTATTATAACTGTTTTGAGACTTATCAAATTATGTTTAACGGCTTACTGACGAGGTAACTCGACTAGTTTCAAGGCACGCCAGGGGCTCTTAGTAGCATAGCGCGACAAATGACGCGGTGGAGTGTTACATTGTTGAGATTTTATTCCATTTGTATTGGAGATTTTGATACGCCATTGATAGATAGTTTTTTGTCAGTGGGCAGTAGTACATCTCCGGACACAGCGCCCTCTTCGAATGGAGACGGACAGTTCGGGCAGTGGCCACATGCGCGCTCCCCTCCACAACATCACATTAAGAGTCCAGGTTAGCACATCATCATTGAAAATTACGTCTTAAACTGTCGTAATAAGTTCAAAATTATGGTCTCGCCAAAATTAAGCATTCTGGCTATGCATGTGTGAAGATTCTTGATCATTCTTCTCCATTGTAATCTTTACTTTGAAACAATGAAATAGTTTTAATATGGAACAGACCGATATACTAACACTTTTTACCTTTAAATACTTTGTTGTTCAGAAGTTCCCCTCTGTAGTGCTAATTGAAATATTTGACTGAATTTGAAATTTTACTTGGTGCTTTAGCTAAAAACGTAGGCTATGCGTATGCATCCCCGGAGTCTCCGCTATCCAAGATGGAGGTGGCATGGAACGCTCCGCCGCCCACGATGCAGCAACACTCACACCAGCCCTTCCACATACCACCTCCTGAGCGGTAAGTACACTGATGATAAAATTAAGACTAGTATATTACACCTGAATTCGACAGCAAGTAAACCTAACCCTTTTAGTAAATTCTTGCATTGGTTTTTCTACATTATTCAAATACCTATACTTAATGATTGAAAATCTCTTTATCACATTTCTCTGTACCACCTGTCTATTGCATTTTCATGTAGCTAACACATGTTATAAAAAAAATGATGATATCTATGTATCTTATTTCTGTCAAAGCTAGATGTTTTGATACCATCATTTTTAAAAACAAAAATATTATTTTGATTGAAAGTATTTTAAATTTTTTTTACAAAGGAGCGAATAAACTAATAAACTCCTCGCTACGGGACTAATCAGGGACTAAATCCCACTCTATGCCATTACTGGTCTTAAGTTCAATATAACTATTTACATGTGGCCACTGGATGTAACATTTTTGGCGGTTTATTAAAAAGCCTAGGATCTTACACACCATTATCGCTGTCTTATAAGAACAAAAATATACTTTGTTTAAGGATAATGAGCTTCTCAACTTATTAATGAATCCTTCGAAATGTATCTAATTTGTCCAGGTTACTCCCAATCGGTCCCAAGCCCAACAAGGAGCAGTATCCAGTTTTCAACGCCCTGGTGGATCGAGTCAGAGAGGCGTTGAGCTTGCCACCAGGTACTGCTAAATTTCATTCATCAACACAGCATAGATATAGATTTCTTTGTATATTTATTATATGATTCATGAAAAAAGTCGATTTACCTAATTGCCAAGTGTGTGATAGAGTTGATGATGTCCAACTTTTACTGGTGGAATGTGAGAAGAACAAGAAAGAAAGAGAGATAGTAATGCGAGAGCTAAAGGTTAGTAGCTATGATATTGGGGCTTTTATTAAGATATTATCTTCACCAAATTCAAAAGAAGCGGAACCGATCTATGAAATCGTTGCTGCATCACTATCCCCCTCGCTTGCGCAATAATATGTTTGTTAATTAGTTTAGTTACATATTTAGTTATGTGATGGTATGATGAGGCTGTCATACCGTTGTAAGGCAAAAGCCTCTAAATAAATAAAGATAAAAAAAGGCTTCATACAAAATGTACATTTAATTGGTCTGTGGCGACGCGCATAGATCGACGACAATATTCAACAGATGGCGTCACAAGTTCTACATTACGCTAGTGAAGTTTGCGCGCGAATAAACACGGATAGAAAATCCCAACGTACAACTGGACACTAGCCAACCAGGCTGAACACATGGCCTGGTTAGGGTATCTTTTTCCGATGTTACTTAACTCTCTGTTTTCTAAAAGTCAAAAAGGTAGCTTATCTTTTTTACCCACAAAATGACGTCGATGTAGCCAGAAGTCTGGTCTATCTAATAGGGCATTAGCTAGAGTTAAACTATCGGATGTTTAATTTTAAATAGCTACAAGGATTAGTCAAACAAACCTTGTGTGGCAATAGCGCCATCTGCGCAAAAAACGACAACATTCAATGATTTATGGCTGTCAGTAAAGATTTCTCTATATCAATTCAACGCAGTTTAAGTTCGCCAAAAATGTTTGCTATGTCCAGATGATTCAACGGACAACACAGGATCCTCTCGTTCGGACGGTGATGCCACTCCTACCCCCACTCCTACCAGCAGGCCCCACGAGTTGAACAAGAAATCATCTGAAAGTACAAGGTAAGTACTTATTATTATCTTAGCAGATACTGATCCTACCATACCTTTTTTTTGTCAGTGGGAAAATCATCAAATGACTTCTGCCGCCCAGGGTTAGGCGAGAGAGAGTGTCAGACTCTTATTGACTAAAAACCTCCCCGTTCCTTCTCCTGCTCTGGGCCGAGGCCGCGATGACTCATTGCGCTTAACCTGCAAACCCCGGCTGAACATAAGCCCTATAGCGCCACGTCTGTAGTGGTCTATTGGCTCTTTGAGGCGCACGCGGAATGCTACGCGCCGTACGCTCGGATCTGGTTCTAGATACTGACACAGTTTAGTAAACAAAACTGTGTCAGCCAGGGTTGTGATTAGATCGGGTTGTGGGTCAAGCGCATTAATAGAGCAGTAGAAGCAATGGTAGTCAGTAAAAGTCTGACATTTCAAAAGAAATGATTTGATGATTACCCTTACTCAAAAAATGTCCTACATATTCCATTATATGTACGCTTTCAAAATTGCTCGAGAAATAAAGCGTTAAGAAGTTACTATTAAAGAAACTGACATTAATTTGTATGTACAATTAATACTCAATACTCAATATCTTTATTGCTTTTCCATAAGTACATTAAAGGTGGTAACAATTTGTGTAAGATCAATTATGGACCCTGTAGGGCACAGCAAAATAAGGCAAGCAGGAGAGAGGAAGCTCTGTTTCAATATCCTAAAATAGCTTAATTGTATTTAAAAATAACTTAATTATATTTAAAGTAACTTAATTCTATTTAAAATTAACCTAATTCTATTTAAAGTAACCTAATTCTATTTAAAATAACCTAACTCTATTTAAAGTATCTTAATTAGTTGGTATCACCCGTGGTATAGTAGGGATTGGTGTAAATTCTATTGAAGAATTTGAGACAGTTTGACGTTAAACTTAATACTAATGTGAGTAAAATGAATTTTCTGCATAACACAGGTCACCGCGTCGGTTAGCAAGACAAGTGGCGCAAACTGGATCGCCACCACACCAACACACGACTGGTAACATCTCAGATTTTTTTATAGACAAATGAGCCGTCAGCAGACAATCGGGTCACACACAGAACATTAAAAGGGTAAAAGGGTGAAGAGAGGAGAGGTTTAGGAGGAGTGAGGGTGTTTCCTCCCTCCTCTCTTCCCACGTGACGTCAGGATAGATCATATAGTCAATTGTTTTTGTTTTAGTTAATGAATTATTGCAGTGTATCGATGTGTCTGTCGCAGATTGCGGGGGTTGCGGTGGATGCGGGGGCTGGTGGGAGGCGGAGTCCCGCGCTGGGAAGCGAGCTGCGCATGCGCACGCCGCGCCACATCGCCCCGATCATGAACTCTGCTACCGGTGTATGTATACATAGTATTGTTTGCCATGATTTTGTGTTCTGTATAGTTTTGTTTAGGTAGCTTTTTTCTGTTAAAGATATCTTCTGATGATGAAAGCTCACATGAGTGTGATGTAAGTTGTGTGTGGAATATATCGTGTTGGATCGTGCAGGCGCGGAGTGCGGCACGGCGGTGGAGCAGTACAGCGACGAGGAGCTGGGGCTGTGCATCATCGTGCTGGCCACCTTCGTGCACCGCGAGCCCGCCGCCGCCGCCGCCATGCTGCCCGCCCTGCTGCATAACGTCAGCAGGTACGATGTAGGGGGGTGCAGGCGGTGGAGCAGTACAGCGACGAGGAGCTGGGGCTGTGCATCATCGTGCTGGCCACCTTCGTGCACCGCGAGCCCGCCGCCGCCGCCGCCATGCTGCCCGCCCTGCTGCATAACGTCAGCAGGTACGATGTAGGGGGGTGCAGGCGGTGGAGCAGTACAGCGACGAGGAGCTGGGGCTGTGCATCATCGTGCTGGCCACCTTCGTGCACCGCGAGCCCGCCGCCGCCGCCACCATGCTGCCCGCCCTGCTGCATAACGTCAGCAGGTACGATGTAGGGGGGTGCAGGCGGTGGAGCAGTACAGCGACGAGGAGCTGGGGCTGTGCATCATCGTGCTGGCCACCTTCGTGCACCGCGAGCCCGCCGCCGCCGCCGCCATGCTGCCCGCCCTGCTGCATAACGTCAGCAGGTACGATGTAGGGGGGTGCAGGCGGTGGAGCAGTACAGCGACGAGGAGCTGGGGCTGTGCATCATCGTGCTGGCCACCTTCGTGCACCGCGAGCCCGCCGCCGCCGCCGCCATGCTGCCCGCCCTGCTGCATAACGTCAGCAGGTACGATGTAGGGGGGTGCAGGCGGTGGAGCAGTACAGCGACGAGGAGCTGGGGCTGTGCATCATCGTGCTGGCCACCTTCGTGCACCGCGAGCCCGCCGCCGCCGCCGCCATGCTGCCCGCCCTGCTGCATAACGTCAGCAGGTACGATGTAGGGGGGTGCAGGCGGTGGAGCAGTACAGCGACGAGGAGCTGGGGCTGTGCATCATCGTGCTGGCCACCTTCGTGCACCGCGAGCCCGCCGCCGCCGCCGCCATGCTGCCCGCCCTGCTGCATAACGTCAGCAGGTACGATGTAGGGGGGTGCAGGCGGTGGAGCAGTACAGCGACGAGGAGCTGGGGCTGTGCATCATCGTGCTGGCCACCTTCGTGCACCGCGAGCCCGCCGCCGCCGCCGCCATGCTGCCCGCCCTGCTGCATAACGTCAGCAGGTACGATGTAGGGGGGTGCAGGCGGTGGAGCAGTACAGCGACGAGGAGCTGGGGCTGTGCATCATCGTGCTGGCCACCTTCGTGCACCGCGAGCCCGCCGCCGCCGCCGCCATGCTGCCCGCCCTGCTGCATAACGTCAGCAGGTACGATGTAGGGGGGTGCAGGCGGTGGAGCAGTACAGCGACGAGGAGCTGGGGCTGTGCATCATCGTGCTGGCCACCTTCGTGCACCGCGAGCCCGCCGCCGCCGCCGCCATGCTGCCCGCCCTGCTGCATAACGTCAGCAGGTACGATGTAGGGGGGTGCAGGCGGTGGAGCAGTACAGCGACGAGGAGCTGGGGCTGTGCATCATCGTGCTGGCCACCTTCGTGCACCGCGAGCCCGCCGCCGCCGCCGCCATGCTGCCCGCCCTGCTGCATAACGTCAGCAGGTACGATGTAGGGGGGTGCAGGCGGTGGAGCAGTACAGCGACGAGGAGCTGGGGCTGTGCATCATCGTGCTGGCCACCTTCGTGCACCGCGAGCCCGCCGCCGCCGCCGCCATGCTGCCCGCCCTGCTGCATAACGTCAGCAGGTACGATGTAGGGGGGTGCAGGCGGTGGAGCAGTACAGCGACGAGGAGCTGGGGCTGTGCATCATCGTGCTGGCCACCTTCGTGCACCGCGAGCCCGCCGCCGCCGCCGCCATGCTGCCCGCCCTGCTGCATAACGTCAGCAGGTACCGCAAGCTGTCTGTCCTCCTTACCCGGCAAAGGTCGTGTTCTTAACAGCGTCAGTAATTGCACAACGTTCGTCAGTATGAGTTCCAAGGTTGGTTTGGAATCAGTCAAGTTCTGCATTAAATGCTTACGAGAATAAGTCGTTCAACATAATAATGAATAATCTGACTTTAGACATAAAATTTTGTCTATACTAATATCATCCTCCTCCTCGCGTTGGTTTCCTCAGTGCTGAGGGTCGTGACCACCTCGTGGAAGCAGTTACTGCGTATTACTCTCCGCCATCTATTTCTATCTGCCGCCGAGTGGAGAGCATCGTGGACTGTAGTGTTGAGAGTGGTGCGAATCTGATCCGTCCAACGTTTTGGACTTCTGCCTCTAGGTCTCTTTCCTTCCACCTTACCAGTGATCAGTAACTTTTCCAAGTTATCATTGTCCCTTCTGGCAGTGTGTCCAAAAAACTCCAGAATCCTGCGGAGGCATATGGAAGAGAGCCTTGTCTGGATCTTAAGCTCCTGGAGGATTAATACCTTGGTGCGGTGTGCCGTCCAAGGAATCCCTAGCATTTTTCGCCAGCACCACATCTCGAACTACTTCCAGATCAAGTGTCCCAGTGAGCTCAAGCTTGCCTGAGCGATCTACAACCATGATCTTTACCACCATGCCACCACCCCAGTCATCACAGGCGAGAGAATACAGCCAAAACTGAATGTTTTGGATAATGTCCCATCAATCCTCACCATTCCTTGACTGCTACTGTACAATGACTGCAGGAGTGCAGTTAAATGGCGAGGTACACCCAGTTCCGATAACACTCCCCAGAGACAGCTCCAGCTGATACAATCAAATGCCTTGCTATAGTCGATGAAGCACATTATGACTGGTGTGTCGAATTCATAACACTTCTCCATGATCTGCCTGACGTTGAGTATCTGTTCACGGGTGCCTTTTCCCTTCACAAAACCAGCCTGTTCTTGTGGGATCTGCCAGTCAAGGTAATAACGAACCCGGTTGTTTAGAATGTAAAGCACGACTTTGCTAGCGTGTGAAATTAGGGCGAGAGTGCGATAGTTCTCGCATTTTTCGTCGAACCCTTCTTGTGTAGAGGAAGGATAATCGACTGAGTCCAAGCGTTGGGCCACTCGCCGTTCCGCGATACATGGTTGCAGATATTGTACAAAGTATCAACGCCTTTTTCCCCTAGAGCTTTTAGCACATCAGCTGTTATTTGATCTGGACCCGGCGCTTTTTTAGTTTTCAGTGCTCCAATGGCTGCTACAATCTCCGACCGCAGAATGTCAGGTTCCAGGTCCAGAAGAGGCCAGTCTAGTAGGGTTAACTCAGGATCTATTGAGTTGGGCTTCTTGTAGAGATGTTCACAGTAGCAGCGCCATCTCTCTGCTATTGCGTCAAGCTCGTGCAGTGATCTCCCGTCGATGTCTTCGATAACCCATGATTTGGACTTGAATTGTCTACCTAATAGGCGGATCTTTTTAAATAGATCTGATGTCTGCTGTTTTATAGCATGGGTTTTCACTTTGCGACATATATAAGTAATGAAGGTGCTTTTGTCCCGACGGCACTCTTGTCAAAGGTCAGAATATTCCTTCATTACGTCATGGTTTTGTAGCCCTCTCACTTACATATCCTTCCTTTTCTGGATGAGTTCCCATGTGTGGTCCGTTATCCAAGCTGTTTTCTTACAGTCCTTCTTTCGCTTCGAAGCAATCTCAGAAAGAGACTCTCGGATTCTCTTTTCCAGATCAATCCAGAGAGTATCAGCGTTAGACGTTGGAGGTGTTGGGTTTTCAGTGAGTATGTCTTCGATCGCGTTCTGGAAGTGTAGGCGCTCAATAGGGTTCGAAGTTGTGGGTGATGGTCGTGAGTGCGTTTTCGTCGCTTTTAGGCGCAGTGATAGGTAAGTGACAAGCAGCATATGGTTGGAACCACAATCGGCACCTGGAAATGTCTTCACACTTGTAATGGAAGATCTCCAGCGAGTATTTATCATAATATAGTCCATTTGATTTCGATCGCCTGGAGATCTCCAAGTGTAGAGGTGTCTATGGTGATCTTTAATGTCATATTCATGACACTTAGCTTCCTACCAATACAAAACTCGATGAGCTTTTGACCACGCTCATTTCCAATGCGTAGACCATATTTGTCCGATCGCGTCTCCGATGGTGTGATCCAGCCCCATGATGCCAACCTTTGGATTCCAGTCGCCGAGTAAGATTGTAAAGAGGTAAAATTTCTAAGCTTGTATGTTTTTAAGTTTATATGTAGGTATGTGTATGTAGGAGGTAATCTTTGGAACCACTGGTCGGATTCCGAAAATTCTTTCACTTATTTATAGCTACAATGTTCCTGAGTGCTATACGCTATAAAACATTACGCTACAATCAAATGGTGCCGAGCAGCGAATGAAATTGCGCGAGCGTAGCTAGCAAAATAGATAGTATGCCTATCAGATTTTTCATGATCATTTTTAGCGTCGGTTCTCTCATCTGTTTTTTTTTCGGTTTTGATATTGTTTATAACAAATTTTTTTTTAATATAACCCTTGCTCTTCCAACCCTTAATTAAAATACAATCCAATGAAAACTAGACAAAAAAGTCACTACAAAAATTTCCTTTACATTCAAACGTCTCAAAACCTGTTCCATTAGAGATATACGCTCAATGAGCAATGTTGTGTCGTGCAGGGTGGTACAGCTGGGCAACTACTCGTGGCAGGCGGAGACCAACACTCGCCTGCCGGGCAGCGCGGTGTTCGTGGCGCACCAGTTCCTGCGCTGCGTGCTGCACCAGCTCGCGCCCAACAACGTCTTCCTGCAGATCTTCCTGCAGCGCACGCCCGGTGCGTATGTTTATACCATAGCTCTTCAAATGAGAAGACGGTGTACCTGATACTAAGATTGAAGATGTAAGAATAATAAGAATTACAAACGGATTGCTTTGCCTTTTCGGGGTTATGACTAATTTCCAGATTGGGGTATTAGGAATGCGAAGGAGGGGTGGGAGGATTAGGCCACTGGTTATCTCACCCACATAGTAACACAATGTTAAAATTTTCTCTGTGAAGCTTAAGTCTACAGTTGATCATCACCATCCTGCTAAAACATCATTAGCTCGAGCATCTTCTTCATCCATTTTGCTATAGGTTTCCTCTCTGTAATAACTGATTAATAAATTAAATAATGTCTTCATTATGTATGACAAACATCGTATATGATAGTGCCACTAGTGGAAAATTTTCTCCGATAGCATGCTATTTTAAAGATAAAGATAAAGATAAAGATAAATTTATTCGCAAATATGGGTACAATACAGGTGATAGAGATACATTTTCGTGGTTCAGCCATACTTTGCCAGGAAGGCATGCAAATTTTAACACACACAGAATTTAAGTTTTAATAGAAAAATTATAAACAAATTAAATTAAACAGTTAAAAAGATTAAGTTAAATTAAAAAGATTAAGTTGTAATAGAAAAACAATAGACAAACTAAATTAAAAATTAATAATGATAACAGGCATCTTGGTAGTTACATACACAAGGATTTCAAAATTATCATTATCAATCCGATCTGATTACAATAACTCTACACAACAAAATCCTTCTCATGCAAAAAATCACTTATACTATAATATGTTTTATTCAACAGAAATTTTCGAATCGACTTTTTAAATTTCAATATGGGCAATTCTTTCCAGTGTTTAGGTATTTTATTATAAATAACTGGCGCCATGCAGTAAACACTTTTGCGCATAAGTGCTGTTTTAGCTGTTTGTAGACACAGTAAACTATTGTTGCGCCTATTCCGTGGGAAGTTATCGGAAAGGAGTTGAAACTTAGTCGGGTTTGATTTGACAAATAACGCGACTTCTAGTATGTACAGACAGGGTAGGGGTAAAATGTTATATTTTTTGAAATATGGCAAGCAACTCTCGGTGGTTTGCATTTTAAAGATAGCTCTTATACATCTTTTTTGTGCTTTAAATGCTGTTTCTCTTCCCGAAGAGTTACCCCAAAAAATAATACCGTACCGTAGGTGCGATTCCACTAGGCCATAATAAGCCGTGAGAAGCGCATCTATATATACTACTGATGATAGTGTGTGCAAAGCGTATGCGGACTTACTAATTTTTTTACATAAAGAGTCAATGTGCGATTCCCAATTTAGGTTTTGATCTATTATGAGTCCCAGGAATTTAGTATTTACTACTTCTTCTATTATATTATTACCGTGCTGAATGTTAATATCAATGCTAGGAGTACGCTGTCTAAAATGTATAGCTTTCGTTTTAGACAAATTAATTTTTAAATTATTAGAGTCTAACCAGTTCACAATTTGTTCTAAACTATTATTAATGTCACTTCTATATGTTTCTATATTTTCACAAGGTATTGTTATTGTGCTATCGTCTGCAAACAATGTTACTGGTTGTTTAATACATTTCGGTAAGTCATTTATGTACAAAATAAATATGAAAGGGCCTAATACGCTCACCTGCGGTACTCCAAATAAAACTTCACGTTCGGTGGACCTAAATATTTCTTCACGTTTATTATTTATGTTGATTTTATTGATTTCAGTTTTTTGTATTCTATTTTTTAGGTAAGATTCGAGAAGGTTTAGTACGTTGCCTCTAATGCCGTAGGCTTCCAATTTTGTTATTAATATTAAGTTAGATCTTATTAATTTATCACTATAAATCTCATGATGGAAATCGATCTCAGTATCACTACCATCATCATCATCAGTTTATTTCATAACAATCATCACCCACTTCAATGAAATACATTTTTTAAATTGACTAATGTGTAAATATTTCTTTTAGTGATGATATTTCTGACATACCTAGTTGTATATTTATAACAGAGAAACAACGGCAAATGTTCTTCAAGAGCATTGCGCAAGCGTTCGTGGACTTCAATGAGCTGTACCCGTGTGGGCCTCTACAGCTGGTAGTGGAACATCTCAACTCCAAGAAGACCTTGCCTGTCGATGTAAGTCGCATTTATATCTATAATTTATCATTTTTATCGAAATTAAATTAGGATAGTAAATATATTTCTCATGACAGTATTATGAAATGATCCCCCCCCCCCCCCCCCGAAATGATAGCGCTGTAGCGTTAGGTCCTGTAAAAACATTTATACGAAATTAATTTTTCGGTCATTTTTTTTGTATATTTGTTATTATTATTATACTTTATTGCACACACATACATTTATAAAAATACAATTAAAAAAAAATATGTACAAAGGCGAGCTTAACCCAGAGTTGGGGTCTCTAACACCAAACCTTAGAGCGATAGAGAGATTGGATATGGAAGGGTAAAGTCATAAGTGCGCAACAACACATTACTGAGAAAATATAAACACTATAACAATATATAAAGACAATAAATATATATAATATAATAAAGCTACACAATATATAAACATAATACATAAAAATACAATATATACATATATAAATACATACATATATAGTCATGTTGACAGTAAATGTTCCCTGGTTCGTTCCTTGAAAACATCTAACGATGAGCTCTCGCGTATAGTGTGAGGGAGAGAATTCGTGAAGGATCCATCATAACGGCTCGAAGTATGAGGAGGGACACGAAGAAGAAGAGATGAAGAGGAGCGACAGGGTTTGCCTCTAGGAACGAGGAATTCAAAGCGTTCCCGAAGATAGCTTGGTGTTTTGTTCCTATCAAATGTAAAAAACATACACAGTCTTATGCAAATAAAACCACATAACCACACTTATTAGCTCCATCTTCAGATCGGCAACTTCTCTTTGGCCGAATTTCACAAAAAAGCGATCTGGCAAGCGTGAGGATTATGACAACCCTATCCCCGTCCTTCATGATCGACGTAAGACGCACGTGGCCCCCAGGGTCCCCGTCAACTCCGCTATTCGCAATCTAGTTAGCGGATCGGGTGCCGGTAGAGTAAGAGACGTTAGGAATCCACGGTAGAAGAACCTCAACTTTTTTTTTGTTGCAAAATCCTCATGGAGCCTCATTGCCGTCGGGAAAGGGCGAAGGGTACTGTCAGACTCTTACTGACTAAAAACCAACCCGGTGTTCCTCCAAATACCCATGTGTCGCAGGGGCGGGTATCGCCGAAGCATTCGTCGCAACCAGAGCAACCTCTACCATCCCCGATGAACTTCGACCCTGGTAACACATCCGCACACAGAAGACCGAGGAGAAAATTGTTGGGAGGAATGATTGAGCTAAATGGGATGGGATATCTTACGACTATCCGAAATCCGAAAAGAGGATTCAATAATGCTAGATTCCTTTAACATGTTCTTCTTCCGGGAAGGAGAATGAAAATCCCAGGGTGGTGTCTGATCAGAAAATCCCAGTCGTCATCATGAACCGTCTCGAACGCAAATTCGACTATGAAGCCTCCCGAAGAAGCCGGTTTCTAAAAAGGCACTATGGAACCCATATATACGCTCCGCTAGATCATACAAAAGACAGAGGATTATAATCAGCGATTGTGTTTAGCGGTTGTAGAGTATAACAATAAGCCTTCGATTCGAACGTGGGTCGTGTCGTGCTGCAGTCTCTCCAGTGCTCAGCGCTGATACATCAACGAACTAAAGTATTTGTATAGAAGCGCCGCCATGCACATGTGACTCCAAGAAAAGAACAAAAAATTAATCCAATTTCAGAAAAAACGTGAGGCCGGGAGACGTAATTTATCCCCAAACCATTCATTAACTTATTGGAGGACGTTTTCAGGCTCTTATATGCTTGTGGTCTTTTGCGCGACAATCGGTCCGCGGACCGATCCCTAAGAAATAACGTACGACATCTCTCCGGTTCTATACTTCGCAGTGACCAGGGTAGATGACGGAACGTGTAACGTGCTTATCGCCAAATAAATGATTTTCTTTCTGTTTTTCTTTCGGTGACACGGTACGAGTAATGTTATGTTTTGTAGCAAATGGGTGTGATAGCGGGCAACATAGCGATGTACCTAGAGTGCCTGGCCCCCGAAGCACTAGGCCCGCTGGGCGCGTGCGCAGCGCTAGTGAGCGCGCTGGACGCCCTGCTGCGCGCCGCCGCGCTGCTGCTGCACCAGCTGGACGATGTGCTGCCGCTGCTGCGCGCTGCCACCGCCGCGCTGCGCATCCCCGCCGCCGCGCAGCACAAGGTACTCTCCCCCTACTGCACCAGGTCACGTCCCCCTTCTATACCAGGTACTCTCCTACTGCCGCACCAAGTCCTCTCCTCCTATTACACTAGGAACTCCCCTACAGCTGCCCCAGCATCTCCCCTACTGGTGCATCAGGTGTCCTCCCCCGGCTACACCAGGAACTCCCGACCCCGTCGATTGCTGACATTATGCCAACAACTCGTTAGCCGCCCCTGTCAAAATTGAAAGTCAAAATAATTTATTTTAATTAGACCCATACAGGCACTTTTGAACGTCAAACAAAATTTTATAGAAATAAAGTGTCAGTCTGTCGGTCAGTCCTCTTAGTGAAGCTATTTGTTCGTTCTAAAGTGTAGATTCCGATGCAGAAGAACGAGCAAGAAACTCCATGGTTAAACTCTTTTTAAATCAGTGTCACATAAAAATTCTTTGATACATTATTTAGTTGGTTTAATTATGTGAGAACAGTGTAACGCTAATATACAGAGAAACATAAAAAAGAAAATTACCTTAAAGAAAATAGACAGTCCGGAGCTGACCAGTCCCAATTGACGGCGCCCGTTCACGAACATGACACGTACACCAGCATCTCCCAACTCAACCATAATATAGGGAATCGAGCGACCCAGTGCCCGTGCCACAGCCAATGTGTCATAATTATTTGTCCTACTATTTATTTTTAATATCAATGATGTGTCATCATCAAATAATATAATTGGGTAGTTTCCTAGGTCAAAAATAAATTAATTCGACGAATTAATACGATAAAATATTGAAAAATAACTATACTTTTATTCATCGATCGATCGATACACTAAGTTTTAGATACTTTTTAGCTATTTTTTTAAAAATAAGTAAGCTGTTTGACGCAAAAATGATATGACGTCATAATTCAATGTTTCATACAATTTTCATAGAAAAGTATCGTTTTTCACATTTGGATAAAATAATTGAATTTGACTAGTTGGAAACCACCGTATTCCCGGTTCTCGTTGAAATGAATGAGGTAAGTCATTTATGTAGACCAAAAACAGGAAAGGACCCAATATCGAGCCCTGTGATACGCCCATAGATATGCTAGCACACTGGGAGCTGACTTTATTTACCTGTACTTTGAGCTGTCTACCCTGGACGTATGATTTTAATAAATTGAGTGAAGCCCCTCGAATATCCTAGCGTTTCAAGTTCAGCAACAGTGTCTCATGCTCGACACAATCAAAAGCTTTGTCAGGTCACAAAAAATTGCAATAGCGTCGTGTGACCAGGCAAAAACACGCTTAATTAGAGTTACACCGGCATCAGTTGTGCATCGACCGTCTATCACTTAAAAAATGCATACACCTTACAGTTTACTCAAGAACAACTATAAGTATGTGTATTAGGTATGCGAACAATCTCTTTATAATGATAGAACCCCTGACATTTTGCGCAGCAGACAATTTAGTGTCGCGTTTAGGTGCGTTTAGGGTTATCTTTAAGTTAGAGATAATTGAAACGCAGCGCTAACAACATTTAAGTTTTTATTTTATTTTTTATTTCGGGTCGTAGGTAGGTAAGAAAAAAAATTGCCGGTCTTAATATTTTCGTCTATGGAGGTAGACGCGCTAGGTACTCTCCTGGCCTGACGCAACTTTAGCGGTCACGTCGTCACGGAGACCGGAGAATAAGCGCCCACTGGAAGTCGTCCCGCAGGGTCGTAGATGATGGAGAGGCAAAGTGCAGCAGAAAGAGAAGATGTCCTTGTTCGAACCGGAACTTGGGCTGCTGGTGGTCGAACCCGAACTTTGGACCCTGGAATGATCCAGACGCGGAATGAGTTTAGGGTTTTCCGACTTATCCTCGTCTGACTGTGACCGCGACAGCGTAAGCGTGAGGCAGAAGATGTACTATTGCGATTAAGGCGAATGTGTGCAAGTCACAGTCAGAATCGGAGCAAACTACAGAAGAATTTTTACAGTGGTACATTGATATAAATGAATACTACCTACTTTAAAACATATTAATAGAAGGTACTAAAACACATTACAAGAAATGAACAAACACTATAGAAGGAAATTCTAATAGGAAGGAAAAAAAATCTATTCACGTAATGGCCGCAACCAGCATGATTAAGCAGAAATTAAATAATTGTCAACACTTACCCAATATGGGGTTAACACTGAATTTATATATTAGAGGAATAACGCCCACGTATGGATGACACGCTAAGTTATTAAAACTATCTTCGGTACTTTTAAGGAGCGCGTAAACGTGTGTACGTTACAGTTGATGTGTGCCGTCTGTCCCTGGCCGGTGGCACGGCAAAGACAAAAAAAAAAGAAATATGACTGGCAAATTTAATTTGATCATGTGAGGGTGATCTTAACAATTTATGTTTTTATTTTTCGATAGTATGACTACCGACACAAACGGGGAACAGGTTAGCGAGTTGGAACCAAAATGCAATGACGTGACGATTTGCCTTAAATGCCTTTACTTAACATAGAAATAAGTATTGTTCACTTTATTGTTCATTTAGTGCTATTGTTTTTTGTATGTACTATTGTATAGGAGTTATGTTAAGTTAATATTTAAAATGTACGCCTGTACATACATTGACAATTAGTGTGCGTGTGTGTAAATTTGGTATTAAAATTTTGACAGGAGCGTTGAGTTAAGTATACTACGTTACAATACCCCCGCGCGCAGATAAGGATTTTATTATTTCTTAAAATAAATAAAATCCGCTCAGAACCAAAGCCAATCTATTTGTTTATTCTTTCATAAAAATCATCTTTTACCTCAATCATACTTCTCGCTCAATACACATTAGCGGCAGTTAATGTATACTCATTACTAAATTAACTTACGCTGACAATGACATATAAATAGGTAACCAGCTATACTTGAATTCTTGTTACCTGACAAATAGTGGTTCCGAATTATGATGTAAATTAAACGTTAGGGGGGTAATTGCTTTAATAAAACTAAATGTAAATTAAGACAAAAAAAAACATTCTCAAGTACGCCCTGCTAATTTCAGGTCTTTGATGTGCCAGGAGCCTATATTTTTGCCTGACATGTCCTGCAGCACATAAACTAAAGGGGACTTCTTTTCTATAATCTTGGCCTTAATGAATTTCGGTGCCAACTTCTTAGAAAACCGGCTCTCTTTGTCGCTTAAAAAATAAGCGCGTTTCATAACTACGTCTCCAACGTTAAATTCGGCAAATTTACGCCGCAAATTATAATGAGACGTGTTCTTTACATGAGCTTGCCATAATCTTGACTGGACATTGTTAAAGATTGTAGAAAGACAGCCTAAATTTTCAGCGTAAACGTCGCGTGGTAGGAATAGTATTTTTTCTCCAAGATCGTTATCTATGAAGTGGGAACCACACGTAACAAGCTCACGTCCGAAGACTAAGAAGGAAGGTGTGTACCCGGTGGCCTCGTTAACAGAGTTATTAATTGCAAACTGTACTTTAGGTATATACAAATCCCAGGATCTGTGATCATCTTCGACAAAAGTAGAAATGCAGGTAATGATGGTTCTGTTGTACCTTTCAACTAAATTTACCTGAGGGGTATATTTAGGGGTGTAATGAACATTTGGTATGTTATATTTTTTGAACAGAGCCTCTGCTACCTTGCCGGTAAACTGGGTGCCATTATCCATAAGTACAGTTTGAGGTATGCCGTGGACTAGAAAGACGGATTCCTCCAATATTTTAGTAATGATATCAGAAGTAGCCTTTTTTATAGGAAAAATTAAACAAAATTTGGAAAAACAGCAAGTGACGACTAATATATGACTATTTTGTTTTTTAGTAGTAGGTAGGGGACCCATGAGATCGATGGAGATCATTTGAAATGGTCTGGAACATTGTTTAGGACGACCTAATTCTCCAAGAACCTGATGATTTTGGGACTTGTAGGCTAAGCATTTATCGCAAGTACCAATAAATTTAACGACGTCCTGATACATGCCAGGCCAATAATAACGTAATGCCAGGCGTCGGTAAGTTTTGAAAATACCCATATGTCCAGCTGTAGGCTCGGAATGGTTTTCTTTAATAATTGCCTCGTGTAGTTCAGTAGGAACGACCTCCTTCCACGAAAACTCAGAAGTAAGTTCAGAATTACCCTTAGATAACCTAAACAAAATATCATTTTTAATTATAAAATTTGGGAACTTGGAGGGGTCGTTCAAACATCCATTATAAATCTTTTTGTACCAACAGTCATTAGTGTCCAAATGAGATTTGGAAGTACTGATGGCACTAACAGGAGCAATTCTAGACAAGGCGTCCGGTATGACATTATCAACTCCTCGGCGGTGCTTAATTTCGAAATTAAAGGAAGATAAACGAACGCCCCACCGAGCTAGACGGCCAGTAGGGTTACTTAGGGAAAGGAACCATTTAAGAGCACTATGATCAGTATATACTGTGAACGATTGACCATTTTCTATATAGCATCGCCAGTGCTCAAGAGCGGTAAGGACGGCTAACGTTTCGCGTTCGGTTATGCTGTAATTTTTCTCAGCTGCAGAAAGTGACTTACTCATGTATGCAATTGGGTGTTCCTTGCCATCTATAGTCTGAGTAAGCATTGCACCAACGCCATAACTACTTGCATCTGTATGCACTTCAAAAGGCTTGGTATAGTCCGGACATGAAAGAACTGGTGCCGAAACCAAGCACTCTTTAAGTTTTTGGAATGCAGAGTCGGCTTCTGGAGACCATTTGAAAGAAGGAGTGCCTTTTTTGGACGACGTTAATTTATTTAACGGTCCCGCAATATCACTAAAGTTTGGAACAAAACGTCTGTACCACGTCGCGGTTCCAAGAAAACGTTTGAGGTCCTTGCGACAAGTAGGTGTAGGGTAGTTAAGTATGGCCTCAACCTTGGCTGGATCAGTACGTAACCCAGACTCGTCAACGACATAGCCTAAATATTTTAATTGAGAACTGAAGAAATTACATTTTTCAAGATTAATGGTTAAGTTAGCTTGTTTTAATTTATCTAAAACTCGCAAAAGAAGTGTCACGTGACTATTAAAATCGTTGGATATAATTATTACGTCATCTAGATAAGCAAAAACTTTGAGATCAAATTCCGAAAAGAGCAAATCGACTAGTCGTTGCTGGGTAGCTGGTGCGTTAGTGAGGCCAAAAGCAGTGCGTTTGAAACGAAAAGTGCCCCTACCAGGAACATAAAAAGCGGTCTTGTCACGATCCTCTGCAGCGATAGGAATTTGCCAGAAAGCCTTGGACAAATCGATGCTAGATAGGTAGCGAGCATCTCGTAGGTTGTCCAAAATCTCGGATATGTACGGGAGATTATAAGCATCGCGTTTAGTAATTGAATTCAGCTTGCGACTGTCCAAACAAAACCGAGGTTGGCCGTTCTTTTTGGTAACGATTAATACAGGAGACGACCACGCACTCTCACAAGGCTCGATAACGTCGAGTGAAAGCATCTCGTCAACCTGTTCGACCAAGATCCGTTGCTTTTCAGGCGAAAGGCGGTAGTACCTCTGACGAATCGGTTCCGAGTCACCAGTATCGATCCGATGCGTGATAAGACTTGTGACACCTAGACCCTTGCGATTGAAAGAGATTTCCTCATACTGTTTCGTAATATTGTCAGCCAGTTGTTTTTGTGACTGATCTAAATTCGCATAACCTTGTATGAACGACTGATGTGAACTGTCCAAGGAACAATTGTCAGGTTTGGCCATAGCAATGCTACCTATATACTTAGGACATAATTTAAATTTACGCCAAAAATCAATGCCCAAAATTAAGTTTTTATTAATTTCCGGAATTACGTAAGCTTTTAAAATATGAAACTGGTTTTCGAAATGAAGTGGAATATTAATATAACCTACACTCTGTATATTCTGACCTCCGGCCGCCGTTACTGTGATACAATCCGCTTTGACAAGTGGCAAGCCATACTTTTCTAGAACTAAATGAGCACCATTACCCAAAATTGTGACAGCTGAGCCAGAATCTAACAGTCCTGAAACTGTGAGACCATTGATCTGAACAGAAACGTAGGGTCTGTCATCGAGATCACGTTTATCACCGAGAACTGTGCAAATGTTGTAAGATTCAAAAAATAATTTAATAGTATGTAGCCAAGTTTGCCAATCTTTGCTATCAAAGTTTTTATTATGACCACAGTTCTCGATAATTAGTTTTTTGGCTTGATTTGTGTCTCTTTGCCACAATCTGGGCAGTCTGGCGCTTTAACACCTTTACGGCCACATTTAAAGCAAACCAACTCGTCTCTATTAGCTTTACACTGCCTTAAATTATGCGTGTTATTACGACAACGAGGACAGTAACGCTGCTTAGTGCCAGAACTAGGAGTGTTCACTGCATGTACATAATTAGGAGCTGAGTGAGATGTATTATTATTATTACTATTTGTAGCATATTTGCTATTACAATTTCTATTTGATTGACCCACGTAAGCAAATTCAGGTGCTAGGGTAGTCGAGCTCGGCTTTGGAGGCTCTTTGAATTGAGAAAACCGTGCCTGAATGCTCTCAAAGTTACGGCACAAGTTTCGCAACTCATCAATAGATTTGACCTCGGCGGCAGAGGAAAGAGTATTAGCATAAATTGGGCGAATATTGTGGAGTATAATTTCCAATTTATCCTCTTCTGAAACCTTCTTCGATAATCGCGAAAAAAGTCCAGCCATAATGGAAAGGTAAATAACTATGTTTTCGCTTTCTCCTTGTGTGCGAGACCTAATTTCTGAAAGCAGTCTGTAGTCATAGTCAGACTGGTCGAAATCACGCCTCAGCGACAATGCAAGTTCGTCCCAACTCAGAACCGAATCTTGGATACTCCTGTACCAGTGCAACGCATCGCCGATAAATATTTCAGTGGCATTCGTCAATATTTTATTGCATGAGATATTTTTCGCTTTGCAAAGTTCCTCACAACGTTGAATGAACGCTCGCACGCAAGACTTGCCGTCATATTTTAATTTTGCAAATTTATTAAGATTACCCTCACAAGTGACGGTGACATTAAGAGGTGTCGAAGCAATAGAGGGAGAAGTATCGTTGCTAGACACAGTTACAGCCAAAGGATCTACAGCAGAATCATTAAGAGTGATGAGTTTTGCTGCTGTCTTTTTATAAAAACTGACACATTGATCATAGCTGTCCTTTAACTTTTCATCGCAAGCAATACGGTTTAGCCGGTGATATAAGTGGTTGAGTAAGTTTTGTGTGCGTAGTAATGTGTTCTTGTCTAAAGATGTTGATTCTAATATAAGGTTAGTTTTTTCAAGAACATCTACAACACCATCTAAATCGACAGCTGGGTCAAAAGGGCTAGTTAAAATGTCCTCTGACGGAAACAATGGACCGCATTTAGCAATTTGTTTGCGCAATTCTTGTACAGTGGCAGCTGGTGTTTCACCTCTAATGGCAACTTCGTACTCAAGCTCAGCCTTTTGCAAAGACATAAATTTCACAGGAAATACCATAATTAATACGGTAAAAAAAATTTCGTTGGGTAAATGTTGACAACTCCAGCACGTGAAAAAACAATAAGAACAAAAAAAAAGCAAATTACTCCGTCTGTTACAATTTTAAATTAAAATAAATAACGTCTTGGTTGTTTTTTCATGAAAATAAATACAGCAAAATTAAAAGCGTTAAAAAAATTGCAATCTAAAACAAATATAGACAAAACGAAAAAATTAAATTGCAACTAATGTGTACATTTAACAAATAGTAACAAACTATTAAAAAAAATAAGTTACTCGTAGTACTTGTTAACAAAACTTTGTTGCTGACTGTACCGACTCCGCACGGGGTAAGAGTGCGGTTAACATTAAAATATAAAATAATTCAAAAATGAAAGAAAGTAAAAAATACAACGGTATTCAAGATGTCTGGTTTTATACTAAAACCACTACAATTTTTTTTTTTTATTATTTTTTTTTTTTTTGGAACAATGTAATATGATTGATTTTACAGTGCAACATAAAAAAATACTAGCAAACTAGGTATTTCGTACACATTAGTTACCATGCAACCAAAATAAAATAATAAACGTTTTACAAACACAAAACAAGAGACAATACACAAAATGCCAAAAACACTACTACCTCCACAGAAAAGGAAAAAAATTAAGACCTTTATGAAAACCACGTTATGGGCGCCAGTGTCGCGTTTAGGTGCGTTTAGGGTTATCTTTAAGTTAGAGATAATTGAAACGCAGCGCTAACAACATTTAAGTTTTTATTTTATTTTTTATTTCGGGTCGTAGGTAGGTAAGAAAAAAAATTGCCGGTCTTAATATTTTCGTCTATGGAGGTAGACGCGCTAGGTACTCTCCTGGCCTGACGCAACTTTAGCGGTCACGTCGTCACGGAGACCGGAGAATAAGCGCCCACTGGAAGTCGTCCCGCAGGGTCGTAGATGATGGAGAGGCAAAGTGCAGCAGAAAGAGAAGATGTCCTTGTTCGAACCGGAACTTGGGCTGCTGGTGGTCGAACCCGAACTTTGGACCCTGGAATGATCCAGACGCGGAATGAGTTTAGGGTTTTCCGACTTATCCTCGTCTGACTGTGACCGCGACAGCGTAAGCGTGAGGCAGAAGATGTACTATTGCGATTAAGGCGAATGTGTGCAAGTCACAGTCAGAATCGGAGCAAACTACAGAAGAATTTTTACAGTGGTACATTGATATAAATGAATACTACCTACTTTAAAACATATTAATAGAAGGTACTAAAACACATTACAAGAAATGAACAAACACTATAGAAGGAAATTCTAATAGGAAGGAAAAAAAATCTATTCACGTAATGGCCGCAACCAGCATGATTAAGCAGAAATTAAATAATTGTCAACACTTACCCAATATGGGGTTAACACTGAATTTATATATTAGAGGAATAACGCCCACGTATGGATGACACGCTAAGTTATTAAAACTATCTTCGGTACTTTTAAGGAGCGCGTAAACGTGTGTACGTTACAGTTGATGTGTGCCGTCTGTCCCTGGCCGGTGGCACGGCAAAGACAAAAAAAAAAGAAATATGACTGGCAAATTTAATTTGATCATGTGAGGGTGATCTTAACAATTTATGTTTTTATTTTTCGATAGTATGACTACCGACACAAACGGGGAACAGGTTAGCGAGTTGGAACCAAAATGCAATGACGTGACGATTTGCCTTAAATGCCTTTACTTAACATAGAAATAAGTATTGTTCACTTTATTGTTCATTTAGTGCTATTGTTTTTTGTATGTACTATTGTATAGGAGTTATGTTAAGTTAATATTTAAAATGTACGCCTGTACATACATTGACAATTAGTGTGCGTGTGTGTAAATTTGGTATTAAAATTTTGACAGGAGCGTTGAGTTAAGTATACTACGTTACATTAGTTAAGCGTAAGCTGATTAATGACCGACTAACGTGCATGCTTCGATGCAAGAGGGGGTTAAATCAACTTGAACTGCTTTATCATCATCACCCTATCATTGTTATTGCCTTAACTGCAAAACTGAAGCTGAGGCCACCTTCTTTAGACACTCATTATTGTTCAAAATGTCGTCAGGCTGATGATAATAAAAAGGTCCATCAAAAAGAAATACTTGTTGGAATGCGAAGACTCGACAAACGCAGGTTAATTTCTCAGCTGACTAGCATAAACCATTTATTGTATTTTTTTTCTTAATGATAATGCAGAATAGTTCTGCTAGCCGTTAATTTCTCGATTTAGGTATAAGTCTGGTCCAAGTTTAACCTAATCTACAATTCTGGCAGCAAGTTTGCTCTAAAGAAAATCTCGTTATCCCTCAACTTACGGCCTCAATGAGAAATACAATCTTTCAATCAAATGGCTTTAGTTGAATAGCTAATTTTACTACTTAGCTTTGACAAATACGTCATAAACTGGCTGTATTGTTGGCAAATAACTAGTTTTACAATCTTTACCATTTTACTATTAATAAAAATTGAACCAACATCCAAAATTTTCTTTTTTCTCTATCCGCAGAGCATTCTGGAACCTATAACCAAGATCATAAGCTACGGAGTTCAGAACTTCGTGCTAAAGCTGTCAGTTATCTCAGAACTGAGCGTTGTATGCACGCGGGTATTCAGTCGGGACAGAGACAAGCTGCTGGTCTGCCGGGTCCTGGTGTACGAGCTCGTGCAGGCGCTGAGGACCAAAACCACCATACCTGATGATAACCTGTTTATATTGATACAGTTCGTTCTGCAAGGTGAGTGTGCTTAAATAAATATTTCGGTAGAATCTGTCAAATCTGTTTAGTCAATTATTTTTTTAAAAGGATACCTCAACTACTTCTACACAAAACAATGGTTTTTTTAATCAATTTAATTTGTCAATTATAGGTATCCACACCACAAGTATACATAATAGTATGGCTGTATATTGTAATAACACAAAACAATGAAACTGACATCTATTTTCGAAACATAACTGAAACATAAAGTTGGACTGGTGAACTTTGAAGTTGAATTAATTGTTTTAAGGTTTTCTTCCTTACTTTTTTTGTGAGGGGAAAATCATCAAATTAAAAAACATTAGTCGGATGTGTGAGATTAGTGTCAGAGTCTTACTGACTACAAACCCCTCCGTTCCCTTTCCTGCCCTAGGCCGAGGTAACGGTGCCCCATTGCGCTTACCCCGCAACCCCGGCTGAACATTAGCCCTATAGGGTCCCGTCTGTGGTGGTCTATTGACTCTTTGAGGCGCGCGCGGAACGCTAGGCGCCGTACGTTCGGGTCTAGTTCTAGTTGGGCGGTGAGCTACCCTTACTCGCAGTCCGCAGACCCGCGCTTACGGTAGCCGGAGATCGTCTCTCGTTCCTTCTTTACTTAAGAGTAGTTAATTTGACGAGTTCCAAGCTACTCCAGGAGCTCATATTCATCAGCCGAGGCCAATAAGCGAGCCAGTAGCAGAAATCTATTATAGAATGTTGACCACCTACAAATAAGAAGAAATCAGTTATAACAGCTAACCTTCCCTCCCCTGCAAGGTCACGGCTGCCGGCTAGTGCTGCCCCCCCAGCTAGCGGGGGGCGAGCTGGCCAGTGGGGGGACGGACGCGCGGGAGGTGGCCGCCGGCGCCGTCGACTGCATGCGGCCCCATCTACCCGACATGATCGACCTACTGCAGGACCCCCATCTGCTTAATAAGATTAAGGTACGCGCTGCCGGCTTGGAAGACCAATAGTGGACTCTCACCTTAGAATAAATTCTAAGACTCTTACATATCTCACATACTTATTTGCTCCTAAAGCGCCATTTATTAGAATATTCGATTCTTCAGCTTACACTATTCAAGCATTTGTTCGCACAAACATGTCAATTATATTATATTCTACGCAAACCCCTTTTACGATTAAAACGTTGCCCTACACTAGGATTTTCCCTGTGTCATGGGTGCGGTTACAAACATACAATTTCATATGCACATTTTTTTTTTTTTTTTTTTAAAAACGTTGCCCCACTGTAGGATTTTCTCCTGTGTTGTGGGTGCGTTTACAAACATACAATGTCACATACACATGACACCCAGGCCCGAAACAACAATTTGTGGATCACACAAAGTGTTGTTCCGTGCGGGAATCGAACCCGCGACACGTTGCACGGCAGCCAGTTTCCAAGCCACCGCACCAACCGTGCAGTCATCAATACTCGGAAATGTGATATGGTGATATGTGATAAACAATAAGTCACATATCACCAATACTCGGAACTACAATATGTGGATCACGAAAAGAGTTTTTCTGTGCGGGAAATGAACCCGCGACACGTTGCGTGGTAGCCAGTTACCCCGCCACTGCGCAAACCGTACATATATGTTTTTAAACGTCATCTATTCGCATGCTTAAGCTTTCATTGTATTTAAGCACTTGTTCACACAAACATGTCAATTATGAGTACACACACTACACACAGCCTTTTATAACAATCTTCTTGTATAAAATCTAAGCTAATATTGGTGTATCATCAGGGATCCGTCTCCAAGTCAATCGTGAACCGCAACCTGATCTGTCTTAATGAAGACACATTGGGCGCAATAGTGAAGGGCGGGATAGCGCAGTACGTGGCCATGGAGCTGGCGCTAGAACACAGTCGCGGGCGACAGGACCGCGCGCAGCCCGCACGGCATATGACGCCGTGGATCAGTACCTCGCTGCCTGGGTAAGTCAGGGTTGATTGCAAGGGTTTGGTGTTTATTTCAGCCTATCTTCCATTCAAGTTCTGTGGCGAATATTATAAAGGTGTTTTTTAGCAACATACCTATTATTAAACGGGTATTACCGTGAAAAGCGTGGGAGAACCATGCTTTGGCACGAATGAATCGGCTCGACCCAAGTGATACCACGACCTCACAGAAAACCGGCGTGAAACAACCACATTATTGTGTTTCGCCGTGTGAGTGACTTACCGGAGGCCCAATCCTTCGCGTTCCCAATCCTTAATCCCCAAAAGGTCGGCATCGCACTTGCAGGCATCAACAGGTAATCGTCTGCTCTTTTGCTGACCTATCAAATGAGCAGCCTCATTACCTGATGGTAAGCAATCGGCGCCGCTTATGGATATTCGCAACAACAAAGGAATTACGAGTGCGTTGCCTTTTCGGGATAAGGGTTTTGGATATTTAAGGATTAGAAAGGGATGAGGATAGGGGAAGGATTGGGCCTTTGGTTTCTTGTCAAGTTCAGCATCACCATATTATGCTGGGGTCACACTGACTTCAAATGTCAATAAGTATCGCGAAAAATAATACCTTTAATCATTTGTTTAATGATCAACTTACTCCTACGATCGATCAACGTCCATTATCACGATAAGTGTGGCCCAAGCATTAGTATAAGAGTAAATAGAGTACAGTTGATGAATGCATGCGCGCGCGCAGTTGCCGCGAGGTGTGCGAGTGCGTGTCGCGCGTGCGCGTGGTGTCGTGGCTGGTGATGGGCGCGCTCTGCAACGCGGCGCAGGCGGCGCCCTCCGCCCCCGCGCCCCCCCACGCGCCCCCGCGGCCCCCCCACATGCCCGTGCCGCAGGACGCCACCTGCCACATCACAGACTACATACAGGTACACTGCTTTACTTCTTAAAACACTCTCACAGCAGCCATGTAAACTCCACTTTAATTAAACTTGTAGTACATATCTATCTTCTAGAGCACCGAGCAAGTAACGAGCCGTTCGAATCTTTGACTGCCCTGATGTCTCAGTCCGGCTAGACTCTTTAGCACTGCGTAGAGATGCAGCCTCGCTATGTGTCTTGTATCACTTATACGGGGAGCGCTCCAAGGAATAGTTCTGCTTGATTCCCGCCGCATACTTTCGCTATCGACCCTCATGAAAACATTATCACCACCATCATATTTGGTTGGCAGTCAACAACTGTGCCATTTTCGGCCTCACACAGCAATAAATAGTAGTCCGAGCCTCATGAAAACATTATCATCCCCATTATATAGATGATTGGCAGTCAACAACTGTGCCATTTTCGGCCTCACACAGCAATAAATAGTAGTCCGAGCCTCATGAAAACATTATCATCCCCATTATATAGATGGTTGGCAGTCAACAACTGTGCCATTTTCGGCCGCACACAGCAATAAATAGTAGTCCGACCCTCATGAAAACATTATCATCCCCGTCATATAGATGATTGGCAGTCAACAACTGTGCCATTTTCGATCTCACACAGCAATAAATAGTAGTCCGACCCTCATGAAAACATTATCATCCCCGTCATATAGATGGTTGGCAGTCAACAACTGTGCCATTTTCGGCCGCACACAGCAATAAATAGTAGTCCGACCCTCATGAAAACATTATCATCCCCGTCATATTGATGGTTGGCAGTCAACAACTGTGCCATTTTCGGCCTCACACAGCAATAAATAGTAGTCCGACCCTCATGAAAACATTATCATCCCCGTCATATAGATGGTTGGCAGTCAACAACTGTGCCATTTTCGGCCTCACACAGCAATAAATAGTAGTCCGAGCCTCATGAAAACATTATCATCCCCGTCATATAGATGGTTGGCAGTCAACAACTGTGCCATTTTCGGCCGCACACAGCAATAAATAGTAGTCCGACCCTCATGAAAACATTATCATCCCCGTCATATAGATGGTTGGCAGTCAACATCTGTGCCATTTTCGGCCGCACACAGCAATAAATAGTAGTCCGACCCTCATGAAAACATTATCATCCCCGTCATATTGATGGTTGGCAGTCAGCAACTGTGCCATTTTCGGCCTCACACAGCAATAAATAGTAGTCCGACCCTCATGAAAACATTATCATCCCCATTATATAGATGATTGGCAGTCAACAACTGTGCCATTTTCGATCTCACACAGCAATAAATAGTAGTCCGACCTTCATGAAAACATTATCATCCCCGTCATATAGATGGTTGGCAGTCAACAACTGTGCCATTTTCGGCCGCACACAGCAATAAATAGTAGTCCGACCCTCATGAAAACATTATCATCCCCGTCATATAGATGGTTGGCAGTCAACAATTGTGCTATTTTCGGCCTCACACAGCAATAAATAGTAGTCCGAGCCTCATGAAAACATTATCATCCCCATTATATAGATGGTTGGCAGTCAACAACTGTGCCATTTTCGGCCGCACACAGCAATAAATAGTAGTCCGACCCTCATGAAAACATTATCATCCCCGTCATATAGATGATTGGCAGTCAACAACTGTGCCATTTTCGATCTCACACAGCAATAAATAGTAGTCCGACCCTCATGAAAACATTATCATCCCCGTCATATAGATGGTTGGCAGTCAACAACTGTGCCATTTTCGGCCGCACACAGCAATAAATAGTAGTCCGACCCTCATGAAAACATTATCATCCCCGTCATATTGATGGTTGGCAGTCAACAACTGTGCCATTTTCGGCCTCACACAGCAATAAATAGTAGTCCGAGCCTCATGAAAACATTATCATCCCCGTCATATAGATGGTTGGCAGTCAACAACTGTGCCATTTTCGGCCGCACACAGCAATAAATAGTAGTCCGACCCTCATGAAAACATTATCATCCCCGTCATATAGATGGTTGGCAGTCAACAACTGTGCCATTTTCGGCCTCACACAGCAATAAATAGTAGTCCGAGCCTCATGAAAACATTATCATCCCCGTCATATAGATGGTTGGCAGTCAACAACTGTGCCATTTTCGGCCTCACACAGCAATAAATAGTAGTCCGAGCCTCATGAAAACATTATCATCCCCGTCATATAGATGGTTGGCAGTCAACAACTGTGCCATTTTCGGCCGCACACAGCAATAAATAGTAGTCCGACCCTCATGAAAACATTATCATCCCCGTCATATAGATGGTTGGCAGTCAACAACTGTGCCATTTTCGGCCTCACACAGCAATAAATAGTAGTCCGAGCCTCATGAAAACATTATCATCCCCGTCATATAGATGGTTGGCAGTCAACAACTGTGCCATTTTCGGCCTCACACAGCAATAAATAGTAGTCCGAGCCTCATGAAAACATTATCATCCCCGTCATATAGATGGTTGGCAGTCAACAACTGTGCCATTTTCGGCCGCACACAGCAATAAATAGTAGTCCGACCCTCATGAAAACATTATCATCCCCGTCATATAGATGATTGGCAGTCAACAACTGTGCCATTTTCGATCTCACACAGCAATAAATAGTAGACCGACCCTCATGAAAACATTATCATCCCCGTCATATAGATGGTTGGCAGTCAACAACTGTGCCATTTTCGGCCGCACACAGCAATAAATAGTAGTCCGACCCTCATGAAAACATTATCATCCCCGTCATATTGATGGTTGGCAGTCAACAACTGTGCCATTTTCGGCCTCACACAGCAATAAATAGTAGTCCGACCCTCATGAAAACATTATCATCCCCGTCATATAGATGGTTGGCAGTCAACAACTGTGCCATTTTCGGCCTCACACAGCAATAAATAGTAGTCCGACCCTCATGAAAACATTATCATCCCCGTCATATAGATGGTTGGCAGTCAACATCTGTGCCATTTTCGGCCGCACACAGCAATAAATAGTAGTCCGACCCTCATGAAAACATTATCATCCCCGTCATATTGATGGTTGGCAGTCAACAACTGTGCCATTTTCGGCCTCACACAGCAATAAATAGTAGTCCGACCCTCATGAAAACATTATCATCCCCATTATATAGATGATTGGCAGTCAACAACTGTGCCATTTTCGATCTCACACAGCAATAAATAGTAGTCCGACCTTCATGAAAACATTATCATCCCCGTCATATAGATGGTTGGCAGTCAACAACTGTGCCATTTTCGGCCGCACACAGCAATAAATAGTAGTCCGACCCTCATGAAAACATTATCATCCCCGTCATATAGATGGTTGGCAGTCAACAATTGTGCTATTTTCGGCCTCACACAGCAATAAATAGTAGTCCGAGCCTCATGAAAACATTATCATCCCCATTATATAGATGGTTGGCAGTCAACAACTGTGCCATTTTCGGCCGCACACAGCAATAAATAGTAGTCCGACCCTCATGAAAACATTATCATCCCCGTCATATAGATGATTGGCAGTCAACAACTGTGCCATTTTCGATCTCACACAGCAATAAATAGTAGTCCGACCCTCATGAAAACATTATCATCCCCGTCATATAGATGGTTGGCAGTCAACAACTGTGCCATTTTCGGCCTCACACAGCAATAAATAGTAGTCCGAGCCTCATGAAAACATTATCATCCCCGTCATATAGATGGTTGGCAGTCAACAACTGTGCCATTTTCGGCCTCACACAGCAATAAATAGTAGTCCGAGCCTCATGAAAACATTATCATCCCCGTCATATAGATGGTTGGCAGTCAACAACTGTGCCATTTTCGGCCGCACACAGCAATAAATAGTAGTCCGACCCTCATGAAAACATTATCATCCCCGTCATATAGATGGTTGGCAGTCAACAACTGTGCCATTTTCGGCCTCACACAGCAATAAATAGTAGTCCGAGCCTCATGAAAACATTATCATCCCCGTCATATAGATGGTTGGCAGTCAACAACTGTGCCATTTTCGGCCTCACACAGCAATAAATAGTAGTCCGAGCCTCATGAAAACATTATCATCCCCGTCATATAGATGGTTGGCAGTCAACAACTGTGCCATTTTCGGCCGCACACAGCAATAAATAGTAGTCCGACCCTCATGAAAACATTATCATCCCCGTCATATAGATGGTTGGCAGTCAACAACTGTGCCATTTTCGGCCTCACACAGCAATAAATAGTAGTCCGACCCTCATGAAAACATTATCATCCCCGTCATATAGATGGGTGGCAGTCAACAACTGTGCCATTTTCGGCCTCACACAGCAATAAATAGTAGTCCGACCCTCATGAAAACATTATCATCCCCGTCATATAGATGGTTGGCAGTCAACAACTGTGCCATTTTCGCCATTTGTGCCTCACATAGCAATAACTAGTATAAATTTCGGCTTACCTCCTTTCAAAAACTACTCCTACAGCTCAACTCAACTCTACTACTCGTACTCTTTTTTACAAAGCCGATAATGCGCCTGTGACTTCTCTGGTGCTGCAGGAGTTCATGGGCGGCGTTGATCACTTATCATCATGCGATCCCTACTCCATAATAAAATAGAGCTAAAGCCAAGCTTCCCTGATAAACAGACTGACGATCTTCTTTTTTCAAAAGTACCTATTTGTGATGTAGTTGGAATAAAGTTTTCAGAATTCACTCGTCATGTTGTTGAACTTATAATTAGATGAACTAAATTTTGAAACGGCTATTACTATTAAAAAGCTTTCTATATTATCATTCCTTGCTAAAAATCACCTTCTCTGACGAAAGAACACTTAGTGTCACGAAGCTTAAAAACATGTTCCCCGCAGACGATCATGTCGTCGTACGTGGAGGCGGGGCGCGGCGGGGCGACGGGGTCCGGGGGCGGGGCGCGGCTGGCGGGGCTGCTGCAGGCGTTCGTGCTGTGCCAGCTGTGGACGCTGTACCTCGAGCAGGCGGCGGCCGCGGCCGCACCCGCCAGCGAGCCGCACTACACCACCACCTGCCTGCTGCTGGACTTCTGGTGCAAGCTCGTGCCCAGCATCCTGCAGGTCACCGTGCAGTCCAAAGTCGTGCGTATACATCTATATATATAACAATCAATGCCACAGCGAGCCGCACTACACCACCACCTGCCTGCTGCTGGACTTCTGGTGCAAGCTCGTGCCCAGCATCCTGCAGGTCACCGTGCAGTCCAAAGTCGTGCGTATACATCTATATATATAACAATCAATGCCACAGCGAGCCGCACTACACCACCACCTGCCTGCTGCTGGACTTCTGGTGCAAGCTCGTGCCCAGCATCCTGCAGGTCACCGTGCAGTCCAAAGTCGTGCGTATACATCTATATATATAACAATCAATGCCACAGCGAGCCGCACTACACCACCACCTGCCTGCTGCTGGACTTCTGGTGCAAGCTCGTGCCCAGCATCCTGCAGGTCACCGTGCAGTCCAAAGTCGTGCGTATACATCTATATATATAACAATCAATGCCACAGCGAGCCGCACTACACCACCACCTGCCTGCTGCTGGACTTCTGGTGCAAGCTCGTGCCCAGCATCCTGCAGGTCACCGTGCAGTCCAAAGTCGTGCGTATACATCTATATATATAACAATCAATGCCACAGCGAGCCGCACTACACCACCACCTGCCTGCTGCTGGACTTCTGGTGCAAGCTCGTGCCCAGCATCCTGCAGGTCACCGTGCAGTCCAAAGTCGTGCGTATACATCTATATATATAACAATCAATGCCACAGCGAGCCGCACTACACCACCACCTGCCTGCTGCTGGACTTCTGGTGCAAGCTCGTGCCCAGCATCCTGCAGGTCACCGTGCAGTCCAAAGTCGTGCGTATACATCTATATATATAACAATCAATGCCACAGCGAGCCGCACTACACCACCACCTGCCTGCTGCTGGACTTCTGGTGCAAGCTCGTGCCCAGCATCCTGCAGGTCACCGTGCAGTCCAAAGTCGTGCGTATACATCTATATATATAACAATCAATGCCACAGCGAGCCGCACTACACCACCACCTGCCTGCTGCTGGACTTCTGGTGCAAGCTCGTGCCCAGCATCCTGCAGGTCACCGTGCAGTCCAAAGTCGTGCGTATACATCTATATATATAACAATCAATGCCACAGCGAGCCGCACTACACCACCACCTGCCTGCTGCTGGACTTCTGGTGCAAGCTCGTGCCCAGCATCCTGCAGGTCACCGTGCAGTCCAAAGTCGTGCGTATACATCTATATATATAACAATCAATGCCACAGCGAGCCGCACTACACCACCACCTGCCTGCTGCTGGACTTCTGGTGCAAGCTCGTGCCCAGCATCCTGCAGGTCACCGTGCAGTCCAAAGTCGTGCGTATACATCTATATATATAACAATCAATGCCACAGCGAGCCGCACTACACCACCACCTGCCTGCTGCTGGACTTCTGGTGCAAGCTCGTGCCCAGCATCCTGCAGGTCACCGTGCAGTCCAAAGTCGTGCGTATACATCTATATATATAACAATCAATGCCACAGCGAGCCGCACTACACCACCACCTGCCTGCTGCTGGACTTCTGGTGCAAGCTCGTGCCCAGCATCCTGCAGGTCACCGTGCAGTCCAAAGTCGTGCGTATACATCTATATATACTTTTGCAAATTCTACTCATCTTCATCCACTATTAGCCATAGATCTTCAAACTGAAAGGCTTATTGATTTTGTAAATAACTTTATTCATTTAAATTATTTTTCTAATTATAAAACTTTTTATATTTGTAAACAAATAAGTATACTTTTCGAGGATACTCGACTAGTTTCAAGTTACAACTGGAACTCATAACTATTAACAACAATATGCACAGTTATACCCAACCTCCTTGACAAACTGTTACATATTTATTCTTCTAATTAACTGTCCCTTTGTTGTCAGCTGGCAGAGACGGTGAACCTCCACTTCCTAAGTCTACTGGAGTCACTTCTAGAATGTAACTCTACCGTACTGAACAAACTACTACCCTTATGGAGCCCTATACTACACTCACCGTTGTTTAATGTAAGTTCTAATTCAATTTGATTTCTTTCTACTATTCTTCTTTTTCGAAATATTTTGAACCATAAAACAATACAGCAGGGTATATAGTTTAAAAATTTTTGACCGGAAAAAATTGCCATCGTTCATTTACGGTTAGAAAAACTTTTAGGTATATTTTGTAGAGGGTGATTTTACAATCGGGATTGAGGGACAAACGCAATAAGGTACTACGGCATCGTCCTGGACCAGGAGGCGGAACGAGGGGGGTTCTAAAACACTAAGAGTCGGATACCTCCTCTCGCCCCACCCAAGAAGGGAAAGAAGAAAAATGATGATTTCTTCTTAGAAGCTTTTTTCAGGCCAATGATGATGATGATGGTACCACTGGTACTGGTTCCAGATGCCGCGGCACGTGTGGCAGCGGCTGTGCGTGGTGACGGGGGCGGCGCCGGGCGGGGGCGGGGGCCCGCGCGACGCGCAGGCCGCGCAGCGCCGCCTGCACCGTCTGCTCGCCAAGATGGCGCAGCTCGAACTGCAGCCCCACTCCTTCTACTTCATATAACTGCTGCACTCATTCATATGTACCACGTGCCTCCGTTATTGGTAAGTTATCTGTCAAAGATACCTTTGTACCAACAAAAATGTCAATAAAGTGAAAGAAGAATGACGTCATCCTTTTACGGAGATGCTCGACTAGTTTCGAGCACGAAAAAAAATGCCATAAACTACCCATTAAAACTAGTCAGATGAACTTACTAAAGTTAACCACCATACTTCTGCGTTGTTATCACACATTCGACTTCAAAGTTAATTAAATCTATACTAATATTATAAAAAAGTAAAATGTGTAAGTTTGTATGTAGGGGGTAATCTTTGGAACCGCTGGTCGGATTGCCAAAATTACTTCACTGATAGATAGCTACAATGTTCCTGAGTGTTATGGGCTATATATAAACATCACGCTATGATTAAATGGAGCCAAGCAACGGATGAAACCGCACGAGAGTAGAAGTTTTTTTATATTTGAATAAATATTAGTGTTACACTGTTCTCACATAATTGAACCAACTGTTTGTAAAAGGAATCTGTAATCTGAGTAACCATGGAGTTTCTTGCTCGGTCTTCTCCACCGGAATCTACACTTTGGAACGAGCAAATAGCTTCACTAAGAGGACTGACCGACAGACTGACACTGTATCTTCAAAATTTTGTTTGACGTTCAAAAGTGCCTGTAAAAGTCTAATTGGAATAAATGATTTTTGACTTTTTGACTTTGAAGTTCAAGAAATCTTGAACCCACCAAGAATGACCAATTTCTTTTTTTTTCCACAGGTACTACAAAATAACGGCAGTCTGGGCCAATTTCCAATGAACTGGTCGCTGTTTACGTACGTACCTATAGTATTAATAAGTACTGGACTAAATTGACATGTCCATGACCTAAAATAATTTTGAAACAGATCAGATTTTGTGTTAAAGAGATTCTGTAACGAAATGAAATTATGTAATCTAAATGTAATCAATGCTCGACCGTTTGTTTCTCTTAATCAATATACTCTCGACGTGCCTAAAAATGAAATTGATGAATTTATATTCGTATACTATACTTGACGCCTCCAATATCGTCATAAGCTTGAAATTTTATTAATAATCAGTTTTACTTAAACTTGGTTTTAATTGGCGTTATGAAACCGAAGTATTTATTGTATTAAAAATATTGTCGATAAGCTTGCCATGGATTATATAACACAACTTACATGTTATACGTGCAGTTTTGCTTAGCTGCTTAACCTTTCGTAGGTCAAAAGACGTGTCCAGAAAATATCAGAAATGACTTACAACCAGTTTTGTATGAAAAACGAATTTAAAACTTAAAATCATTGTAACCCTTAATTTATCCGATGACTACAACACGTGGGAGAGCTAAGCTGCACCTACAGCTGGCATTGGGCAGGCTCGACCGGGGAAGTACCACGCTCTCACAGACCACCAGAACAGTGCCAGCGTCGAGCTGGAACTGTCCCTGGTGAGTGATGAGGACCGGAATGCCCAGCCCCCTCCTCGAAACGTCGCAGGAGGGACCGACCTATTCAAGATACTAAGCGTAGAACCCCTCATAATCAGTTCCAAGGTCCTTTGAGGAGGAGGAGGTCCATTGTCCACAATTGGGAACTCCCGGGTAGTTCTTGATGATCAGATGATGATGATACAGGTGTCCCTCGAAGTATGGATCAAACTGAACAGAATAATTAGATCATTCCAACCTTTTTGCACCCGGGAATGTTGGTCGAATTCGCTCGGTTTAAAAGTTATGACCAATTTTCATGTGGTCTAGTTATTTACAAATGAGAGTTATTCCAAATTACAACATGCACTGTCTTAGGATTTTAGACACAAACGATACATATAGGGAAGGTATAAATCGAGAAAACATCTGAACTGGAAAACTGCCTTGAGCAAACGTAGTGTAAAATATTTATTTTCTTTCGTATGAGTAAGGCTTTTGCTTAGCAGTGGGACAATAACAAGATTATGAATTCAAATTCAAATAAGTCAACAAATCGAAACTGTTTCATAACTTTAAAATCGTAAAGTACTCGACGGACATGCTTAGATACAAAGGCGTACTCAGTTTGATCAAATACATCGAAGAACGCCCTGTATAAGCCACAGTTCGAATAATATCAGTGTAAGCTTTATGCGGGGCGCTACGAGTAATTTGAATAGGTCGCTTTTTCTACCTCGTATTGCAAATAAGCGGTGTATTAATCCCAACATTTGGTATCTACATTACAACAATTCATAAACTGATAAAAAAGCAATGCGAGGTTTAGGTGTTTTGCGTAGAAAACGCGTTATAGTTTACACCGCGCAATATAAAATCTACGGTTTAAAATCCTCTTTAACAACGTGACAGTATACTTAATTAGTGGTAACACAATACATGGAAATTGGAACTGAAATGGATGGATCAACCACAGCGCATTCCGTGTAAAAAAATTTGTTATTCACATGTGACACGGTAATTCTGTATCACAATCAAAACTGAACTAATGTTACGGTCTTCTGGAGCCTCCCTTCACGTGGTAGAGCCAAGCTGCACTCAACCTGCAGCTTGCAACGGGTGGGCTCGACCGGGGAAGTACCACGCTCGCACCATCAAACACCAGCTTAGCAAAAGCTTCTGAAGCTGGAGCTATGCTGGTGGGTGACGAGGTCCGGAATACCCAGACCTCTTCTCGAAACTTCAGAGAAGGGAGCGGCCTATTCACGATACTAACCGTAGTGCCTCGCGTTAAGGATCGTCAATGTGAACGATCTGGTGCCAGGACCTACGAGTAACTTGAATAGGTCGTGTTATAACTACCTTGTATTAATATTGGACAGTTTCCTCAGTCAAAAACAAATTTTTACCTCAACAAAGTATTAAAAAATAATCTCACTTTCACTGAGTGATTTGATGTTGCACTTAATTTTCATATTTTTGTAGGGAAATTATAAGAAATAAGTGTATCTACAATGACTTTACAACACGCTACCTCAAACAAAATTCATAATATAATGACTTTTCTAAAAAAATATTGTATTTGACTGCTTGGAAACTGCCTTCTTAAGCGGTGCGACAACATATTAATATATATTGTATTTTTATATAATTTTACGATTACCAATACGAGGTAGAGCACCGATGTTTACCATTTCATCTTTGGTAAAATATTCAGTTAATAATCATTAAACATGTATGTCCACCATATATAATATGTTACTTTACAATTACTGGATAGACATATGGGATAGACAGCCTTAGCCTAGAAGCTGAATATCTGCAATCGTTAATGTTACAGAAAATAAAACAAATGTTTGGGAAGTTAGAACATCATTAATATGGTGTGTCAAAATTATGCATGCCGTGGGTAAAGCCAGTGAAGATCAAAGAGTAACATTATTAAAAAAAACAACGCATTTTAAAAAGGTACCTACTCAAGGCTACTCAAGGTTTATAAGATCTTCAAAGATCGTTTTCATTACTTTCTGCAACCATCTATATGCTGTACACGGTACATGGGCTTATGTTCCTTAGCTACTATGTAACTTGTCCACATTGTGTCATAATTGGCAATCACGCAGGATAATACAATTCATTGACTAATATTCCATTTCAAATGTACTATTTTAAATCAAGCGAAGAGACGAGTTGAAAGTAGTTAATTGCATTCAATGCAAACTTAAAGCGGTATGAAGATAGTATTTTTAAACTAATTATCATCAGAGTAAACCAGAGCAAACTCGATAAAATGTTTGAAATAGAAAAAGTAAAAAAAAAAATATACAAAATAATTTGGAAAGCATTCCTAGTCAGAAGGTGCGTAACAATGTCTCCAACGTTTCTCGTATCCGTAACACGGAGAATCGTAACCACCAAAAAAACTAGGTATGCACAAAAAAAAAACAAAAAAAAGTAAAAATAAAAAAAACTACAAAAAAGAAAAGAAAAATCCTAAAAATAGACAAAAGCAACAGAAAAACAATAAAAAAATAAATAAGACAGAAAAAATGATAAATTAAAAAAAAATACAAAAAATAGAAAACCAATACAAAAAATATAGCATGTAAATTATAATATGATTGCATTCTTAAGTGAATGGATAGATAAGTTCTAATATAAGTATTAGTTACGTAAGGATCTCCAAGCTACCACTGAAAGCACTGCCATTAAGTGTATTAATTATAAGTTAAAATTAAGTAAATTCGGGATAAGATAATAAAATTAAACATAAGGTAAGATAATGTTAAAAACACTAAGTGTGTACGTAGGTCGAAAATTAATTGATAAAGTGTGTATGTCTGTGTATGTATGTAAGTATGAAAAAATGAACGCTACAAGTACGCGACGCTTCATAAGTCATGCCGGTTATTACCGAGACATAATTACTAGTTTAGATTTTTCAACTCTTTATTGCATTTGGCGTTTCTATCAAACAACATTAACGATGTTTCTGGTCATAAAAGTTGGAATATCTTCTCTAGTAACATGTTTAGTTAGTTTGTAGGTGATTGGCAGCAAAACTATGTTCTCTACACGATTGTATCATAAAAATATTTTGAACTCTGTAAACTTTTTGCCAACGCTTGATGATAAAATTTGAATCAGATCTTGTTGTTCAGTGTTTGAAGAAGTACTAGACATGTGTGTTGACACTCAAACTCTTCTCAATGGCGTACGAATTGAGCTGTGTTTGGTGCGGGCACAGAAATATCTATCTAGGAAAAACCTCAACTACCTAGAATCAACGAGGTATTTTTGAAAGATATGGGATCCACTGGCAAGTCGCTTACATGATGTATAAGTTAACAATACATCCAACACTGATGTTTAAATATGAGCTTGAAATCGTGAATGGAATATTAGTTTTTGCTGCTTAAGTGTGTCTAAAACACCTTATGATATGGTCTCACATTTTTTTTATATCACTACAAAAATCTCAGTACTTAGGTAATATTATTATTAAGTACGATTTTTCCTGTATACCTCATTATAAATTTGAAACAGATTTTTTTAGT